GGGCTTTTGTCTGGTAGGATGCGGATGGTTTAGTTTAATTTGTGTGTGTTTGGGTGACTTGTTTACCTCTCTTGTACTTTGCACTTCTTTCGTGCCTTTGTAGCGTTTGTTGTTGTGACGTTCTTACCCGCCTCTACTGGACATCTGTTAAAAAGAGCTTTATAGCTCATCGGATTCCTCCTCCAGAAAAAAAACAATATTAAGCTTTCGATCAAATTCATCTCTCCCCAAGCCCCCCAACAGCCTCTGCCCACCACCCAGCAGCAGTGAAAGTGGCTGCACGTGCACAGTTCGTCTATGATCGGCACGTCGCGCGTGGTGGGGTAGGAGTGTGTTGTACTCCCTCCACACTTACAAAACGTCTGCGCCAGGGTGGAAGAGTAGGCCAAAAATACCCTCCACTAGAAGGGGCTCAAGAGAGTGGAGGTACCCCCCCCCCCCCTCCGCCGTTGCTACCAGCGGTGGGGTGAGCGAGCTATTGCAAGTCTGAACTTTTACCTGTTGTTGCATATTAACATTAAATATCGTGTACAAATAGAAAGCATGGCAGAACGACAGAGTTCTTGTACGAAAAAAATATTTTTATTAAAAATTCACGACGCAATTAATTATCTCAATCACGCTCGTTCCAAAACAAATTTCAGAAAACAAACTCCAATGGTAATCAATTCCGACACTGGTACAACTAAAAACAAAGATTCCCCGTGTAGCCTTTAACAGACTGTTGGGGCAAGTGCTGTTAGCGAGCACCTATGAAGGCCGGCACGGCACAAGAAGTGGCAGGTGGCCAACACCACGCCCGGCCACCTTTGTCTCCCCGATGCTGATGTTCACACACCGCGCCAGGTTGCAGTACTCATTCAAGGCTGAGTCGACTCATTTAAGGCTGAGTAGACTCATTTAAGACTGAGCAGACTCATTCAAGGCTGAGTCGACCGACCGAAGTTGGGGAGGAGGCCCAACTCTGGGCTCACGCATTCTTGGTCGTGAGCGGGAATCGAACGCAGGTCGTCCGCTTCGTAGCAACAGTGCCCTAACCACTGCGCCACCGCTCCCCACTGTTAAACAAGAACCAATATAAAGATCCCGCCGTAATAGCCTCGACAGGTTGTTGGGGCAAGTGCTGTTAGCGAGCACCCTATGAAGGCCGGCATGGCACACGAGGGGGTGGGTGGCCAGCACCACGCCCGGTCGCCTTTGTCTCCCCAGCGGCGATGTTTACACACCGCACCAGGTACTCGTTTGAGGCTGAGTCGACCTAGGGGAGGCCCAGATAATTGTCACCGGTGTTGGCCGTGAGCGGGAATCGTACTCGGGTCGCCGGGTTCGTAGCGCAGCGCGCTAACCGCTACACCACCGCTCCCCCCACACACCCGCAAACACAGACACACACACACGCAAGGATCATTAAATAAAGAGCGAGACCATCCCTTCTCGCAGTGCAACACAAAAACAACACCGCCGCAGCCTCCTGTCCGCCGACGCGCTATCGGGTCGCCTCGCCGCGCCGCGCGTCGTTTGCCACGGTGTCCGACGTTTCGCTCCACGTGCCGCGCGACCTCCACCAGCAACCGGCCATCACCGGCGGCAGCAGCAGCTCCCAGCGGCGCGAAATCGTTCGGGGAGCACGGTAAAAAAACAAAAACAAGCGAACGGCTCCGTCGAGTTCCACGAAGAAGCACCGCCGCGGAACGCGGAGCGAAACGTCGGACAACGCGCCGCTGAAGAGGTCAGGCCAGGAGAGCTGCGGCACGGCTCGGCCGCGAACGTCCGGCTCAGCCGCGTGCCTCTCGGCCCCCGTCATTCGACGTCGCCTCTCGGCCGGCCGAACGTGACGCCGCGAATAACAAAATAAATCCGTACTCTTTGGTTCCCACGTGACTTTACCGAAAGAGCCAAAGCGTATGGATTCCTGCAGTCGCGAAAGCTTCAAATCGAGATGCAAATAAATTTCGATTTAAAGCTTTCGCGACTGCAAGGATTCATCTTCTTTGGTTCTTTCGGTAAAGTCTCGTCTCGTCCCTTCACCTGATGAAGGCCGCTTGTGTTGTGGCCGAAACGTCGTGAGAATATTATTGTGTTATTTTATTTTATCAATTTATTATTTTATTCTCATTCTACGTGACTTTACCGAAAGAACCAAAGAAGAGATGCAAATAGATCCGCTCCACGCTCGTGCAGGGCGGCCGACTGCAGGCGACACCCGGAGATGAACGATGGTCGACTCGTGTCCTCCCTGCGACCACCACCTCCTCCTCCTCCCCCTCCATCATCGTCATCGCCATCGCCATCATTCAGCCACAAACTATCCACTGCTGGCTGGGCACCGATATTACGTGCGTTCAATTCACAAGGTGGTCGGCTACTCCCAACACTCGCCACCCAGTGCATCGTCGTCATCATCGTTCTCATCATCAGCCGTGGTCTATCCACTGCTGGATGAACGCCTCTCCCCTCCCCAAAGCAGCCGCCATCTCCCACGGTGGCGCGATGCGACCATCCGTGTGGCTCCTGCGCATTTCGGGCTCATTTCGCCGCTCCGTCTCCGCAGCCGGACGTGCCGCTTGGCTGCGGCTCCACCGATCGTCTCGAGCACCCTCCTCCTCGTGGCACTCCGCGCCCAGGCCCGCTGACTCTCCTCCACGGTTACGTCTTCATTCCCACTCTCTTAAACTCAAACAGTTTTTTTCTATAGACGTTATTTTTAATAAGCGATCTGGCCACAAATGATAGCTCAACCAAGTGGCTTATCACGTGGACATTTAAAGTAGCCGGAATACTCTAAACACACTTTGGGTCTCTATGTAAGTCTCCGTTACGATCTGGGTCTCAGTGTGGGTCTACGTGAGTCTCTGGATCTCAATGCGAGTCTATGTGAGTCTCTGTTTCTCAGTGTGGGTCTATGTGAGCCTCTGTTTCTCAGTGTGGGTCTATGTGAGTCTCTGGGTCTATATTAGTCTCTGGGTCTCAGTGTGGGTCTATGTGAGTCCCTGGGTCACAATGCGGGTCTATGTGAGTCTCTGTTTCTCAGTGCGGGTCTATGCGAGTGTCTGGGTCTCTGTGTGGGTCTATGTGAATATCTGGGTCACAGTGCGTGTCCATGTGAGTCTCTGGTATTCAGTGCGGGTCTATGTGAGTCTCTGGGTTGTGTAGGACGCGTCGTGGCTAGCAGGATAATAACGGAGTGGCAGCAAAGGAGACGGAACGCGCCCGAGAGGAAGTCCACCACGGAGACGGAGCGATGCGATCGGTAAATGTGCGGGCACTGGGTGGATCGTTCGTTGATGTGCGCGATCGTAATTTGTGGCGGTGACGTCTTCCTTTAATGCGGCAGTGGATTGACCGTGGCCGATGATGACGACGATAACGATACTCTATACTCTTTGGTTCTATTCGGTAAAGTCGCGTAGGTAAAAAATAAAACAACAACAATCACGACGTTTCGGCCACAACACAAGCGGCCTTCATCAGGCTGTGTTTCACTCCAGCGCTGTCCTCGAGACAATCTGATCCCTTCACCTGATGAAGGCCGCTTGTGTTGTGGCCGAAACGTCGTGATTCTTGTTGTTTTATTTTTTACCTACGTGACTTTACCGAATAGAACCAAAGAGCATGGATCCTTGCAGTCACGAAAGCTTCAAATCTAGAATTGAGACGATAACGATGACGACGACGGTGATGACGATGGTGATGACGATGGTGGTGGCCTCTTATGGCACAGCTGGATACAATATCCGTTCCTCCTACAGGGAATAAAATCAAAATTTAAAAAAATATCCTTCTCTTCCAGTAAACGATGTAAACAGATGCAGGGACTAAGCGCAAACTTCATATATAAGTAAAAAAAAACATCATCCTGCTATAGAGAAACACAAACACACAGACACACAATGAAAAACAAATATCCCTGCAAGTAACGCAGAATAAAGGATGCGTCCGCCAGTCACAGCATTTCCCGGGATGGGTTGTGCGTCGCAGTACAGGAGGTGATCTGTGTATACACACGTGTGTGTGTGTAGACCTTGGTTCGCAATGTGCGTAGCCAACCGTGTTAATCGGAGGTGCGGGTAGGGGAGCACAACAAACTTAACACGCAAAAAAAGCAATTCTCTGTCGAACTTTAGAACCGCTGTGACCGTAACAAAGGAAGGGACCTCTGCTACTGAAGTTAACGTCCGACACACGACCATCCGAACCATCCATGGGACCTTTTTTTTGCCAGTATCGAAATGATGAGAAAAAAAACAAGAGAGTAGGGAAATATAACAGGAAGTGTAAAGATGTTCAAACACAAAATAGATACAATCTAAAATATTTTTTTTTATTTCACCAGCTAAGGCCCATTAAGATGTATAACTATTTTTTTGTCCTCGCCACAAATGATAGCTCAACTAAGTGGCTTATCACGTGGAAATGTACAGCAGCCAAATATTCGAAGCGCGTGTTTCTAAATGTGGAGGGGAACACGGGAGGACCCGGAGAAAGATCCACGCCACCACGGGGGAGAGACACGCAAACTCCAAATATACAGCAGCAGCAGCAGGCGTCAGGGTCGGGATCGAACCCACGACCTCCTGTACACCAGGCGAGGGAGGTAACATCCCCAAGCCACCGTGGTGATGATGAGAGAGAGAGACACGCAAACTCCAAATATACAGCAGCAGCAGGCGTCAGGGTCGGGATCGAAGCCCCGACCTCCTGCATACCAGGCGAGGGAGTTAACATCTCCAAGCCACCGTGGTGATGATGATGAGAGAGAGACACGCAAACTCCAAATATACAGCAGCAGCAGGCGTCAGGGTCGGGATCGTACCCACGACCTCCTGTATACCAGGCAAGGTAGTTAACATCTCCAAGCCACCGTGGTGATGATGATGAGAGACAGACACGCACACTCCAAATATGCAGCAGGCGTCAGGGTCGAGATCGAAGCCCTGACCTCCTGCATACCAGGCGAGGGAGTTAACATCTCCAAGCCACCGTGGTGATGATGATGATGATGAGAGAGTGACACGCAAACTCCAAATATACAGCAGGCGTCAGGGTCGGGATCAAACCCACGACCCTCTCGCATACTAGGCGAGGCAGATAACATCTCGTCACCGTGGCATGCAAGGCATTAACCATGCGTACTTGTGGCAAAATATGCCACAAGTATGGGTGGTTAATGCAGACTTGATGGCATGTTTTGCGTGCTGGGAATGGTAGCCCAGCGGTTAGCACACCGTGTTATAAACCGGTGACCACGAGGTCAATTTCCTCTCATGGCTGGGCCTCCTCTAGGTTGACTCAGCCCTAAATTATTATCCGGCGTGGTGCCGGCCACCCATCCTCTCGTGTGACGTGCCAGCCTTAATCGATGTTCGCTAACGGCACTTGCCCCAGCAGCCTGCTAAGGCTATACGAAAGGGGGGAGGGGGGGGGGCTTTGTCTTTGTACTGTAGCCTGCGTATTTGTTGAAGCGAGGCTGAATTTCAGCTTGGTCTACCAGCGACCGGAAAATAATATCTGTGCCTCAGCTACAACAGTCACGTGCTACCTACTCAAGTCTACCAGCGACCCGGATAAATCAAGGGGCTGGGTAAATAAAAAAAATGTGAACCAAAATTTTAAAAAACACAGCTGATCCGCCCCCCCCCCACTCCATGGTGCGGTGGAGTTGCCAAGCATCCCGGTTCTCCCCGGGGATCGTCCTCATTCACGTGGAAGCTGCTGTGCAGTGCCCGTTTGTTTGTCAGTTGCGTGATAATAATAAACACAACAACAACAAAGATAATTCACCACTCAAGACGATGCGTGCCCACGTGATTCTCCCCCCCACCCCCCCCCCCTACCGTCTTCCGCGACCGTGAGATATTATTCCTTTTCTTCCCGCGCTGACTCATGGATTTCGTTTGCCATGTCCATCAGACGGAAGGGTGGCAACCCCAGGCTGATCCTGCTGGTTTTGACGATCGGACGCGGTGCTGAACATCGCTCGTGGTCCACCCTCAACCGCATCCACCACACAAAACCATGCGGATTCCGGATGCACAAATGGGAAATTAAAAAAAAAAAACCTCTCCAGTAGCAGTGTGCCGTGACTGTTGGCCATCCAAAACGGACAGTAACAACGCGTGACGACGGAAGAAGGAGACTTCACGGCGACACACCACTCCGCTGCTCCTGACGCGGTTGCCCGTCTTGTCCACCTTTAATGTGAAATCGTAGCCGAGGTTCTGCATCTACACCATCGATCGCTGAACGTCGCCGCGGCCGTTGCAGATCATCACGATCGCCGTAGCCGCCCGGGACGTGCCGGGCGGACGTTGGTCGGTTCAGCTCTCGCCCGTGATCTGGTCCATGAAGACGGTGGCGATGGGCGGGAGGGGCTGCTGCTGCTGTTGCTGCTGCTGCTGCTGCTGCGGTTGCTGCAACGCCACGTGCTGGGCATAGTGCAAGCCATGCTGGGAGCTGTAGAGAGCCGCCCTGCTGTCGTACATGCACTGGGACAGCGACGCGTTCGCGTTGCCTGTCGGACATCGCACACGCACACGCACGCGTTAGATAGACAAAGACAGATCCTCCGTATAGCCTCAGCAAACTGTTGGGGCAAGTGCCGTTAGCGAGCACCTATGAAGGCCTTAGTTGTAATGTTTACACTTCGTGCCAGGTGCTCATTTGAGGCTGAGTCGACCTAGGGGAGGCCCGGGACGAGTTCAAATAATCGTCACTGGAGGTGGCCGTGAGCGGGAATCGAACCCGGGTCGGCAGGTTCGTAGCGCAGCGCGCTAACCGCTACACTACCGCTCCCCAGAGACAAAGATCCCCCATATAGCCTTAACAGACTGTAGGTGCAAGTGCTGTTAGCGAGCACATATGAAGGCCGGAACGGTACACGAGGGGGTGGGTGGCCAGCACCACGCCCGACCGCCTTAGTCTCCCCAGTGGCAATGTTTACACACCGCACCAGGTACTCATTTGAGGCTGAGACGACCTAGGGGAGGCCCGGGACCGGTTCAGATAATCGTCACTGGTGGTGGCCGTGAGCGGGAATCGAACCCGGGTCGGCAGGTTCGTAGCGCAGCGCGCTAACCGCTAAACTACCGCTCCCCAGAGACACACGCGCACACACACACACGCGTGTCAGATAGACACACACACGTGTTAGACAGGCACACGTGTTATACACACACACACACGTGTGAGACACACATGCGTGATAGACAGACACACCCACGAGTAAGATAGACACACACATATAAGTGTTTGACAGACACATACACACATACATATGTCAGATAGACATGCACACACACACACACACCTGCTGTCCTTCCCATTGGCACAGTTGGCTACGTACAGTGCGAAAGAAGTTCAACGTACATACATAGACGCACACGCACACTCACGTATTAGGTAGATGCACACATGTTAGATAGACGCACACGTGTTAGATGGGCATGCCCGTGTTAGATAGATAGACACATGCAGTCATGTGACCGAGATACACATATTAGAAAATAATATAACAATACATTTCGATTTAAAGCTTTCGTGACTGCAGGGATTCATCTTCTTGGTTCTTTCGGTAAAGTCGCGTAGAAGGGAAATAATAAAATAATGAAAATAAAACATCATAAAATAAAATTCTCACGACGTTTCGGCCACAACACAAGCAGCCGTCCTCAGGTGTTCATTGGAGCGCTGTCTTTCCGACAGTTCTGTTTCTTCTGTTTCTTCACCTGAGAACGGCTGCTTGTGTTGTGGCCGAAACGTCGTGAGAATTTTATTTTATTATGTAAATTTTTTATTATTTTATTATTTCCCTTCAACGTGACTTTACAAGAATTCTAATGTATTATGCGCATTCCATCCGAGGATCCCAATACGCAAGGCATGAAAAGCAGGAAACGAAAACGTATCTGTGGGGCAACGGGCCAAACTCGAGGGGGAAGGCCACTTTAAAGAGATGGCCTGGACACGAAAGTAGCGTGGGAGTCAGAGTGGCAGCACGCACCTACAAGCGACACGTGTGTTAGATAGACACACACACACACACGTTGCACAGAAGGTATATGTGTGCGTGTCTGTTAATGTGCGTGGGGGGGAGCGGTTAGCGCTACGAACCCGGCGACCCGGGATCGATTCCCGCTCACGGCCAACACCAGTGACGATTACCTGAAACCGTTCCTGGGCCTCCCCTAGGTCGACTCGGCCTCAGATTAGTACCTGGTGCGCCGTGCAAACAACAGCACTGGGGAGACAAAGGCGGCCGGGAGTGGTTTCTGGCCACCTCACCCCATCGCGCGCCGTGCCGGCCTTCAAAGGCGCTCGCTAGCGGCACTTAGCCCCAACTGTCCGTCAAGGCTGTGCGGGGGATCTTTGTCTTTGTGTTTGTGTGTGCGACAAGGCCACGATAGGCTGCGCCCGCCACACGGACTGTGATCGTTGCCGCCGCCTTTGGCGCCTGCCCCCTTCCTCACCCGCGGACGTGCAGCAGCTGTACTCCTCCTCCGCCTTCCTCGCCCCGTAGCAACCGTCGTCAGCCTTGCGGTCGCCGTAGTAACCGTGATGCTTGGCGTCGCCGTAGTAACCGGGGGGTTCTCCGCCGCAGAGCAGGCCCAGGGGGTCGGGCCGCTCCGGGGCCCGCGACGCGCCGTGGCAGCTGATGACGGGCACGGCACGGCCGGCCAGGGCGCCAGCGCCGTAGAAGCCTGCGCGGGGGGGGGGGGGGGGGGGGGGGGGCGGGGGGGCGGGGAACCATCGGGGCGGCCGTTAGTTCATTCGGGCGTTCGCACGCACGGACACACAAGACGAAGATCCACCCACGGTGTAGCCTGAACAGGCTGTAGGGGCAAGTGCTGTTAGCGAGCAGCAGCTGATGAAGGCCGGAACGGCGCAACGAGGGGTTGGGTGGCCAACACCACGCCCGGCCGCCTTTGTCTCCCCGGGTGACAAAGTTCACACATCGCACCCGGGTACTCATTTGAGGCTGAGCCGACCTAAAATCGTAAGCCAAAAACGGCACACCCCCCCTGAACCCTCATCTCAAGCACCAACACGTCGAACCTCAAACCCCCTCACCCTAGCGCACAACCCCCGCGTTCCCCTGACCCCGCGACCCCCTAAACCTCAATGCCTAACAACACCCCCGAGCCCCGCCACCACCACCACCACCACGGCGCCCTCCGCGTGGTCACCTGGGCCCGTGGCGGGGCACGAGAACCCCGCGTCCACGCCACCTTCGCCGCCCGTCGGCAGCCCGTAGCCGTAGCCGTAGCCGCCGTCAACTCCGCAGCCGCCGCGCGGCCCCGTCGCGAACGCCGCGTGGCCGTAGGCGGCCCCCGCGTGGAACGGCGGCGGCGGCGGCAGCGGCGCCGCGTAGCCTCCACGCTGGCGGAACGGCGACGTGGCGTAGACGTTGCTTTGCGAGCGCTCGCCACCGCCGCCACCGCCGCCGTTGTTGCTGTTATGACTCCTGCTGCTGCTGCTGTCGACGACGACGACGACGTTGTTGTTGTTGTTGTTGCAGACGCTGTTGCCCGTACGGTTGTGGTGGCTGTTGTTGCCATCGCTGCTGCTGTCTTGATGCCGATGGTGGTGCTGGTGGTGCTGGTGGTGTTGCAGCTGCAGCTGCTGCTGCTGCTGCTGGTGGTGGTGGTGGTGGGATCGTCCGTAGCTGCTGCTGCTGCTGCTGCTGCCGGGATAGTAGTCGAGGGAGTCGTCGTAGGCCGCCTCGGCGTAGCCGTGGGCCGGCGGGGCGGGGGGCTCGACCTGGGGGGGCCCTGGGCCGCAACGGCCCTCGCCGCGCTCGGGGGGGGCCGCGGGCCGGCAGGACGACGACGGAGGCGGCTGGTTCATGATGACGCTGCCGCGGCTCAGCGACAGCTCCGGGTGACCTGTCGGGTAGCCTGGGCGACGAAACCACGGGGGCGTGAGTACACGACTGGTGTGAGTACACGACTGGTGTGAGTACGTGACTAGTGTGAGTACACGACTAGTGTGAGTACGTGACTAGTGTGAGTACGTGACTAGTGTGAGTACACGACTAGTGTGAGTACGTGACTAGTGTGAGTACGAGACTAGTGTGAGTACACGACTGGTGTGAGTACACGACTAGTGTGAGTACGTGACTAGTGTGAGTACACGACTAGTGTGAGTACGTGACTAGTGTGAGTACGTGACTAGTGTGAGTACACGACTAGTGTGAGTACACGACTCGTGTGAGTACGAGACTCGTGTGAGTACGTGACTAGTGTGAGTACGTGACTAGTGTGAGTACGTGACTAGTATGAGTACACGACTCGTGTGAGTACGAGACTCGTGTGAGTACGTGACTAGTGTGAGTACGTGACTAGTGTGAGTACGTGACTAGTGTGAGTACACGACTGGTGTGAGTACGTGACTCGTGTGAGTACACGACTAGTGTGAGTACACGACTAGTGTGAGTACACGACTCGTGTGAGTACGAGACTCGTGTGAGTACGTGACTAGTGTGAGTACGTGACTAGTGTGAGTACGTGACTAGTGTGAGTACGTGACTAGAGTGAGTACACGACTAGTGTGAGTACGTGACTAGTGTGAGTACACGACTAGTGTGAGTACGTGACTAGTGTGAGTACACGACTAGTGTGAGTACGTGACTAGTGTGAGTACGTGACTCGTGTGAGTACGAGACTAGTGTGAGTACACGACTAGTGTGAGTACGTGACTAGTGTGAGTACGTGACTCGTGTGAGTACGTGACTGGTGTGAGTACACGACTCGTGTGAGTACACGACTAGTGTGAGTACGTGACTAGTGTGAGTACGTGACTAGTGTGAGTACACGACTGGTGTGAGTACGTGACTGGTGTGAGTACACGACTAGTGTGAGTACGTGACTAGTGTGAGTACGTGACTAGTGTGAGTACGCGACTAGTGTGAGTACGTGACTAGTGTGAGTACGTGACTAGTGTGAGTACACGACTAGTGTGAGTACACGACTAGTGTGAGTACACGACTGGTGTGAGTACACGACTAGTGTGAGTACGTGACTAGTGTGAGTACACGACTGGTGTGAGTACACGACTTGTGTGAGTACGAGATTAGTGTGAGTACGTGACTAGTGTGAGTACGTGACTAGTGTGAGTACACGACTAGTGTGAGTACTTGACTAGTGTGAGTACACGACTGGTGTGAGTACACGACTTGTGTGAGTACGTGACTCGTGTGAGTACGCGACTAGTGTGAGTACGTGACTAGTGTGAGTACGTGACTAGTGTGAGTACGCGACTAGTGTGAGTACACGACTAGTGTGAGTGCGTGACTGGTGTGAGTACACGACTAGTGTGAGTACACGACTAGTGTGAGTACGTGACTAGTGTGAGTACGTGACTAGTGTGAGTACGTGACTGGTGTGAGTACACGACTAGTGTGAGTACACGACTAGTGTGAGTACGTGACTAGTGTGAGTACGTGACTAGTGTGAGTACACGACTAGTGTGAGTACGTGACTAGTGTGAGTACGTGACTAGTGTGAGTACACGACTAGTGTGAGTACGTGACTAGTGTGAGTACGTGACTAGTGTGAGTACGTGACTAGTGTGAGTACGTGACTAGTGTGAGTACACGACTAGTGTGAGTACGAGACTAGTGTGAGTACGTGACAGCTGAGTGATACTGAGGTTGCATCCACGTTTATAAAGCTCAGCGACGGCATGGGAAGCTCTTCATCCAGCAGTGGATAGACCATGGCTCACGACGACGATGACAACGACGATGACGACGACGATGACGACGATGATGATGACGACGACGACGACGATGATGACGACGACGATGACGACGACAATGATGACGACGATGATGATGATGACGACGACGACGATGATGACGGCGACGATGACGATGACGATGATGACGACGACGACGACGATGATGATGACGATGATTCCAAGGGACCTCACCTGCAAGAGTCGCTTCGTGGCTTCCCAGCATGGAGGAGTAGAGGCCGCATCTCATGGGTGACAGCTGCTGCTGATGATGCTGCTGTTGCTGCTGCTGCTGATGATGATTATGCTGTTGGCTTTCGTGGTGGTGGTGCCTCTGCTGGTCGTGGTAAGCGTGTTGTTGCTGTTGTTGCTGTTGCCGCTGCTGCTGCTGCAAAGGTTGCAGCAGCGCCGGAGCGGTGGACTCGCGTTTGACCCTCTCGGGCCCTGGGGTCAGGGCCAAGCAAGCCTTGGCCCGGCTCGCCAGAAAGCACGAGCTGGGGGTGGCGCTGAGGGTAGCGCGGCTGGCGTCTGGAAGGTGCACGGCGGGAGGGGGGCGGGGCAAGGAAGGTCAGGGGTCAGCTTCGTTATGCCTGCACCACAGACTCGTGTGTCCGTGTGCATGGAAGGCAGACAGCGTGTCCGCGTGAGCGCGAGACAGACACGCGTGTCCGTGTGCGAGATAGACACGCGTGTCCGTGTGCGAGATAGACACGCGTGTCCGTGTGAGCGCGAGACAGACACCTCCGCTGCGCGTGTATTTGTCGAGCAGGCTCTGCTGCTCCTGCTCCTTATGGTTGTTGAACTGAGTCTCCAGGGCGAGCAGGATGTACTCGTCCAGCAGCATGCGGATCAGGTGAAACGAGCCTGCCAACACACACAGAGGCAACGATCCCAACCCCGACCGCCCACCCCCCCCCCCCGGCGCCTACGAAGGCCGGCGTGCCACGCGAGGAGCGTGCGTGGCCGGCACCACGACCTTTGACGCACGCGCCGCACGCCACGTACTCGTTTGAGGCCGAGTCGACCTAGGGGAGGCCCAAGGCCGGTGCAGAACATCGATGGCAACTGGTGCCAGCGGTCGCGGCTCGTGGCGCAGCACTAACCGCCGCAGCCGCCGCTCCGTCACCGCTCGCTCCCCGAATGAACGATGACAAAGATCCCCCGCGTGGCCTTGAGCAGGCCGCTCAGGCGGGTGCTGTTCGCCAGCGGTGGCCAGCACCGTCACCCTGCTGCCTTTGTCTCCCCACAGCTGACTATTTATTTACCGCACCAGGTACACATTAGAGGCTGAGTCCACCAAGGGCAGAGGTCAGCAACCTGCGGCTGCATGCAGCTCTTGAAGGACTGCTCCTTCGTGACCGTTATTTATTAAGCACCACCGTCTCGTATTCACGTACCTGTCAACCCCTTATCAGTGCCCTCCCTGATGACAGACCAATTCAGACCTTATTGGTCACCCCGGTGCCCCCTTATAAATCTCAACGAAGTTCCCATCACAAGGGAGAAACACAAACAAATAGACAAAAGAAATATTGTTGCCCGTATTGAAACGGCTGTATGCCGTACGGACCTGAAAACTAAATTTCCCTGCACCAGAACACGGGGCAAACCGCATGGGTTGACAGCTATGTGCACCGCACGAGGTACACATTTGAGACGACCTCGGAAAGAGGTCGGCAAAACCCGCGGCTCCAGAGCCGCATGCGGTGGCTCCTTACGGACTGCTGCTTCGTGACGTCTCATCGTCGACCTAGGGGAGGCCCAGGTCCGGTGCAGACGGATTGCGGCTCTTGAAATTCCGAGCTACTCTCACGGCATTCACAAAGAAGATGGCTCTCATTGTTATTTCGCTTCGCCCGACCCCTCGACCGCCTCGGGGAAGCCCCGGGACCGGTTCGGTGTGGGCGGTCGCGCTCAATCGCTGCGCGCCGCCGCCCGTACCAGCACGGGTACGCCGGCGGGGGACAGCGGGGCGCCATGGGCCCTCCAGCCCAGTTGGCCGCGGGAGCAGTTGCAGCGCCCTACACTCTCGGCGGCGCACGTCACGAGCGAGCTGCGCCGACGCGTCGGACGGACGCGCGACGTTCGCCGTCCCTATTATCGACCCGCTGCCCGGCGAAGGTTCGCCCCGCAAGCGCTCGGGCACGCTGCTCGGCACGGGTTGAACGCGATGCTCGCGGAACGCGGAACGTTTTGGGGCGAATGTTTGGGGCGGGGTCGAGCTGCTGTAGGTGCAACAATCTCAAACCACGTAGCGACTTTGGGGCAACATTAGGCCAGCGGCTACGACGGCGTGCCAGTGGCGCGCCAAACGTAGGGTCCAACGATCTGGTTGTCGCCTGGCGAAGCTGGTTGTAATAACTGCTGAAACGTCGTGCTCAGATTGTAAATGTTGTGGCTTGGCTCTCCAACACACAACCGGCGTTGCTGTACTCGTGACGAATTGGCCACGTTCTGTTTACGTGACGAAACTCTCTCTAAAATTTAGCAGACTTGCTGGGTCTTTCTCTCTCCCTGCCACCGCGGGTTGGATATCCACACAGCTCTCGCATTGACATGCTAATTTCTCTGCTCCAGGAGATCCACCTCTCTCTCTGCCCCCCCCCCCCCTTCTCTCTCTATAGACACACAGAGGCATTGGGTCTCTGTGTGTCTATGTTGTGTGTCACTCTCTGTGTGTCTCTGTGTTGTCTCTCTCTGCTTGTGTGTCTGTCTGTGTGTCTATGTTGTGTGTCTCTCTCTGTGTCTCTGTGTTGTCTCTCTCTGCTTGTGTGTGTCTGTCTGTGTGTCTCCGTGTCTGTGTTTTGTCTCTCTCAAATGTAGTTCTACCTGATGACGACTGCTCGTGTTGCAATCGAAACGTCGTACTCTATTGTTTAAAATTAATTTTCTTTCTACGTGACTTTACCGAAAGAACTAAAGAGTTAAACCTCACTAGTTGGCTGTGTCGGGTGGCGGCGGGTTTAACCACACATTTATACATTTACGCGATCTAACCCCCCCCAACAAAACACCTGTATTATGGTCCAACGATCTCAACCCCGCTGCGCCAAGGTTGGCACCGCAACAGGCAGACCGACCCGACGTGGCCGGTCCGGCTCGGCAATCTCTCCCTCCGGCACCGCCGCCCGGGTCGAGGAGCCCCGCCGGGCGACGGTGGACCCGCGCTCACCGAAGCTCGAGGCGTTGTTGAGCGTGAGGCCGTGCATGACGCGCGCCCCGAAGAAGCTCCAGCGCAGCAGGAAGTCCTGGGCTCTCTTCTTCAGCGTGCGCCCGTTCTGCTTGCTCGGCTGCTCGGGCGACACAAGAGGGCGAAGGCGAGGGCGGCTAAGCTGCGACCCACCCGCTCGCCCGCCCGCCTCGCCAGCCTTGCCCCCGCTGCGGCAAGGCTCGAGGGGGAGCCGGGGTGGCGGTGCCGCGCAGCGAGAAGGGGGGAGGAAGGACCCTGGGTTCGCGGCCCCGGTGCAGGCCGTGACACCGTGTGTGTGCGGAGTTCGTGTGATCTCCCCCTGCTCCGCATGGGTTTCGCCCGTGACCTCTGTGGGTTTATTTCTTTTGGGTGGACTCAAATAAGCACGTGGGTGTGCGTGCGTGTACTGTGTGTGCGTGTACTGTGTGTGTGTGTGTGCGTCTACTGTGTGTGTGTGTACTGTGTGTGTGTGTACTGTGTGTGTGTGTACTGTGTGTGTGCGTACTGTGTGTGTGCGTACTGTGTGTGTACTGTGTGTGTGTGTGTACTGTGTGTGTACTGTGTGTGTGCGTGTACTGTGTGTGTACTGTGTGTGTGTGTGTGCGTGTACTGTGTGTGTACTGTGTGTGTGTGCGTGTACTGTGTGTGTGTGCGCGTACTGTGTGTGTGTTTGTACTGTGTGTGTGTGTACTGTGTGTGCGTGTACTGTGTGTGTACTGTGTGTGTGCGCGTACTGTGTGTGTGTGTACTGTGTGTGCGTGTACTGTGTGTGTGTGTGTACTGTGTGTGTGTGTACTGTGTGTGTGCGTGTACTCTGTGTGTACTGTGTGTGCGTGTACTGTGTGTGTGTGTACTGTGTGCGTGTACTGTGTGTGTGTGCGTGCACTGTGTGTGTGTGTACTGTGTGTGTACTGTGTGTGCGTGTGTGTATGCGTGTACTGTGTGTGTGTGTACTGTGTGTGTGTACTGTGTGTGTGTACTGTGTGTGTACTGTGTGTGCGTGTACTGTGTGTGTGTGTGCGTGTACTGTGTGTGTGCGTGCACTGTGTGTGTGTACTGTGTGTGTGTGTACTGCGTGTGTACTGTGTGTGCGTGTACTGTGTGTGTGTACTGTGTGTGTACTGTGTGTGCGTGTACTGTGTGTGTGTGCGTGTATTGTGTGTGCGTGTACTGTGTGTGTGTACTGTGTGTGTACTGTGTGTGCGTGTACTCTGTGTGTGTGCGTGTACTGTGTGTGTGCGTGTACTGTGTGTGTGCGTGTACTGTGTGTGTGTGCGTGTACTGTGTGTGTGCGTGTACTGTGTGTGTGTACTGTGTGTGTACTGTGTGTGTACTGTGTGTGCGTGTACTGTGTCTGTGTGTGCGTGTATTGTGTGTGTGCGTGTACTGTGTGTGTACTGTGTGTGTGTACTGTGTGTGTATGTACTGTGTGTGTACTGTGTGTGTACTGTGTGTGCGTGTACTGTGTGTGCGTGTACTGTGTGTGTGTGTACTGTGTGTACTGTGTGTGCGCGTGTACTGTGTGTGTGCGTGTACTGTGTGTGTGTACTGTGTGTGTGCGTGTACTGTGTGTGTGTACTGTGTGTGTGCGTGTACTGTGTGTGCGTGTCCTGTGTGTGTGTGTACTGTGTGTGTGCGTGTACTGTGTGTGTGTGTGTACTGTGTGTGTGTACTGCGTGTACTGTGTGTGTGTACTGTGTGTGTGCGTGTACTGTGTGTGTGTGTACTGTGTGTGTGCGTGTACTGTGTGTGTGTGTACTGTGTGTGTGCGTGTACTGTGTGTGTGTGTACTGTGTGTGTGTGTGTACTGTGTGTGTGCGTGTACTGTGTGTGTGTGTACTGTGTGTACTGTGTGTACTGTGTGTGTGCGTGTACTGTGTGTGTGTGTACTGTGAGTGTGTGTACTGTGTGTGTGTGCGTGTGCATCAGCGGTGGGGTCGTGGTTGTCTCGCTCCGCTACGAGCCCGGCGACCCGAGTTTGAGTCCCGCTCACGGCCACCAACACAAGTTAACCGGTCCTGGGCATCCCCAAGGTCAACTCGGCCTCAAATGAGTACCTGCTTCGGTGTGCAATAAACATCGCCAATGGGGAGACAAAGGCGGCCGGGTGCGGTGCTGGCCACCCACCACCCTCGCGTACCTGCGCCGGCCTTCACAGGCGCCACTCGCTAGCAGCGCTTGCCCCAAAAAGTACGTTGAGGCTATACGGGGGATCTTTGTCTTTGTGTGCGTCAGTGGACCTTGATCACCCGGTTCTCGAGGACCTGGTCCAGCCACTCGACGAACGTCTCCACCGTGGCACCGCTCTTCAGGAGATCCCTCAACTCTTGGAGCACAACCACCGAGTCGTCTGTAGACACGTGGGTATAGGCAGGGAGACACGTGACGCGCACACATTGAGATATACACACGGTGATACACACACAACCCTTGGAGTTCAACCACCGAGTCGTCTGTAGACACGTGGGTATAGGCAGGGAGACATGTGACGCGCACGCAGAGAAATACACAGGGTGATATACACACAACCCTTGGAGTACAACCATCGAGTCATCTGTAGACACGTGGGTATAGGCAGGGAGACACGTGACGCGCACGCAGAGAAATACACAGGGTGATATACACACAACCCTTGGAGTACAATCATCGAGTCGTCTGTAGACACGTGGGTATAGGCAGGGAGACACGTGACGCATACACAGAGAAATACACACGGTGGTATACACACAACCCTTGGAGTACAATCATCAAGTCATCTGTAGACACGTGGGTATAGGCAGGGAGACACGTGACGCGCACACATTGAGATATGCACACGCACACAGATGAAGATGAAGGTTCCCGGATAGCCTTCAACAGACTGTTTGGGGGCAAGTGCTGTTAGCGAGCAGCTGTGACCCGAGTGAATGTTCCCCAGCTCACGTCCAACAACAGTGGCGAATAAATTGCAGCCGTTTCTGTGCCTCCACTAGGTCGACTAAACCTTAAATGAGTGCTGATGCGTAAAACGTGCAAACATCAGCACTGGGGAGACAAAGGCGGGCGGGCGGGCGGGCGTGGTGCTGGCCAATCAACCTCTTCGCGTGCTGTGTTGGCCTCCACAGGTGCTGCTCACTAACAGCACTTGACCCCGGGGTCCCGCAAAAATCAGATCAATAATTATTATTTTTCAGTCCGCCCCACTCGTGACCCCGACAGCAACGCGCCGCCCGCCCAGACTCGCACCAACAACAAGCGCCAGCAGCAGCAGCAGCAGCAGGCGGCGATCGACACGATGGGCGCCACCCCACCGGCCAAACGCGAGCCCCGGGGGGCGTCCGCCGCAGTCGCGCGCGGCGACGTCGCCCTCCGGTCAGCCGTCGATCCTCAGCCTCTTTGCCAAGGCGAGCCCGCCGCCGACCAGGCAGTGAATTTAACGTGTTTATGTAATTTTTCAACTTTTTACGAAACTTAGTGTCCCCGAGTAGCTCTCGACAAGGCCAATCGATTGACCACTAGTTTTGTTGTCAGTAAGGTAAGACTCGTGTCGCTACGTGGGTTTTCCCACCCCGGGGCAGTGATGGGACCCCCGGGGGTCCCGCCAATTGCTTCACCTGTCCAGGGATCTTAGTCGTTGTGTAATGAATACAAAATCCGTATGGCCATCATCATCATCACCATCACATTACAGCAGAAGTTCTGTTATCGGGCATCCATTGGGAATGGACGGCTGGGCCATCGAACAAAGCCGGTGGGCACCGCATCGCATTCCACAAATCTTCAAGACGTCGCGTGAAATCGTCGTCGTCACGAAACAGCGCGGTGGACACCTCCCGGCCGCCCGCCTGCGGATCGTGACGACGACGACGACGACGCCGGTGTCAGCGATCGTCACGGGGGGTGCCGCTGCGTGTGGCGGAAGCAACGGGGCAGACCCACACTCGGGGTCGGAGTCGAACTCGGGGTCGTCGGCGGCGCCGCCGGGCTGCGTGAGCAGCGCCTGCGAGCCGAGCGAGTTGAGGTCCACGCGGTCCACGTCGCGCACCATCGCGCTCACCGTCGCCTGGTCCAACAGCGTCGGCCGCGCGATCTGACCCGTGGCGGCGGTGGCGGGCGGGAGGAAGGGCAGAGAGGCATGGGAGGGGGAGGCGGCAAAAATGTTGGAACGACGGCGGCTTGGACCGTGTCGGAGAGGCGTTCGGCACGCCACGTCCCGCGATCACACACCTCGCACCACAACACTCTACCCTCCCTGCGGGGTCTAGCACCACAACACTCTACACTCCTGCAGGGTCCAGCACCACAACACTCTACCCTCCTGCAGGGTCCAGCACCACAACACTCTACCCTCCATGCAGGGTCCAGCACCACAACACTCTACACTCCATGCAGGGTCCAGCACCACAACACTCTACCCTCCTGCAGGGTCCAGCACCACAACACTCTACACTCCATGCAGGGTCCAGCACCACAACACTCTACCCTCCCTGCGGGGTCTAGCACCACAACACTCTACCCTCCATGCAGGGTCCAGCACCACAACACTCTACACTCCATGCAGGGTCCAGCACCACAACACTCTACCCTCCTGCAGGGTTCAGCACCACAACACTCTACCCTCCCTGCGGGGTCTAGCACCACAACACTCTACCCTCCATGCAGGGTCCAGCACCACAACACTCTACCCTCCTGCAGGGTCCAGCACCACAACACTCTACCCTCCTGCAGGGTCCAGCACCACAACACTCTACCCTCCATGCAGGGTCCAGCACCACAACACTCTACCCTCCATGCAGGGTCCAGCACCACATCACTCTACCCTCCATGCAGGGTCCAGCACCACAACACTCTACCCTCCCTGCAGGGTCCAGCACCACAACACTCTACACTCCTGCAGGGTCCAGCACCACATCACTCTACCCTCCTGCAGGGTCCAGCACCACGTCCCTCTACCCTCCCTGCGGGGTCCAGCACCACAACACTCTACCCTCCCTGCAGGGTTCAGCACCACAACACTCTACACTCCTGCAGGGTCCAGCACCACATCACTCTACCCTCCTGCAGGGTCCAGCACCACGTCCCTCTACCCTCCCTGCGGGGTCCAGCACCACAACACTCTACACTCCCTGCAGGGTCCAGCACCACAACACTCTACCCTCCATGTAGGGTCCAGCACCACAACACTCTACCCTCCCTGTGGGGTCCAGCACCACAACACTCTACCCTCCCTGCAGGGTCCAGCACCACAACACTCTACCCTCCTGCAGGGTTCAGCACCACAACACTCTACCCTCCCTGTGGGGTCCAGCACCACAACACTCTACACTCCCTGCGGGGTCCAGCACCACATCACTCTACCCTCCTGCAGGGTCCAGCACCACGTCCCTCTACCCTCCCTGCGGGGTCCAGCACCACAACACTCTACACTCCCTGCAGGGTCCAGCACCACAACACTCTACCCTCCCTGCGGGGTCCAGCACCACAACACTCTACCCTCCCTGCGGGGTCCAGCACCACAACACTCTACCCTCCCTCCCGCCCTCACCTGCGCCAGGTGCAGGAACGACGTCTGCCGCTTGAGCGACGCCGAGAACCGCCTCGCGATGGGCAGCTTTCGCTCGGAGAGCAGCGCTGGCAGCGTCTCCAGCGACGAGCTGGCCCAGCGGTCCCAGTGGCGCGCCAGCCCCCGCACGTCCACCAGCAGGCTGCGATGACGACGACGACAACAACAACAACGGCGTCATCAACAACTGCCTCGGCATCAACAACAACAACGACGTCAAAAAGCGGCCGCCGCTCGCCAAACTAAGCGGCGGCGACGACGGCGGCGGCGCTCGCGCCAGGCTGGGTGCACCTCGACGCCGTCACGTGACGTGTGGAAGGCTCGCCGCTGGCAGGACGGGGTCACGGGGGTACACACCAGGCGCGCCACGCACGGCGTGCACCTACACGCGTCAAACTCATTTCGCACCGTCCGTAGACGAGCGTGACTGATGTGCCAAGCGAAGTTCATGAGGTCAGGGCACAGACCCAGGTGCTGTGCGTCGACCGGTCGGTAAGCCTGCGTGGTAAGCCTGCGTGCCGTGGCTGTGGGCGGTGGCCATCAGGGGGGAAGGGCGATGCCAATCGGCTGGTGACCCCCGTGGCACGCTCGCAGGCGCCGCGGCGGCGGCCAACGGGGGGCTCTGGACGGGCGCGAAGGGCTGGTGGCCGCTCAACTCTCGTTGCGATTGTCACAAAACCACGCGTACAACGGCTCTGCGACACGCACGCACACGCACAAAGACAAATATCCCCCCCGTATAGCCTTAACAGACTGTTGGGGCAAGTGCTGTTAGCGAGCAACCTATGAAGGCCGGAACCGCACACGAGGGGGTGGGTGGCCAGCACCACGCCCGACCGCCTTTGTCTCCTGAGTGGCGATGTTTACTACACACCGCACCCAGGTACTCATTTAAGGCTGAGTCGACCTAGCGGAGGCCCAGGACCGGTTCAGATAATCGCCACTGGGTGTTGGCCGCGAGCGGGATTCGAACTCGGGTCACCGGGGTTCGCAGCGCAGCGCTCACCGCCGCTCTGCCGCTCATCAGCAGGGGCAGCAGCCGGAGAGAGAAGGGAGAATCCACGCAGACGTCAAGTCTTGAGCGTGTTGGTGTCACAACAAGGGAACAGATATGACAAGATCTGACCCCACAATGATTTCCGTTATTATATAGTTTTAGCAGCAGCAGCAGCAGCAAGAAACAACAGCCAGTGAAGGAACAGAAAAGAACGGGGGTGCGCTGCTCTCAAAGTAACGGGAGATGCGAGTGAACTCGGAGCGATACCCAGCTGTGATGTAGGGAGCGTGCGAGAGAGGGAGAAGAGAGAGGAAGAGAAAGAGAGAGGGGGCTAGAGAGCGCCATAGACCCGCCGCCAACCATCCCCGACGTGCCGGCAGCTCCTCCTTCGGAGGGTGTGGAGCGAAACGTCGGACAACGTGCGGTTGACGGGGCCCCGGGGGAAAGGGGGTGGCGGTTGTGGTGGGGGTGGTGATGGATGTCGAGGTGGGGAAAACTCCACGAACCTGTCCGTCATTTCCTGCATCGTTCCCGGGATGAGGACATCAGTGAGGACCTGCAGATGACGGCACGGGGGGGGGGGGGGGGGGGGGGGACAGCGGCGTCGGTGCCGGGGACGATTCCTCGGTGCAGTCTGTCGCTCCGCTGGGAAGCCCACAACCCCGACGATTCTATACCATTGAATCGTTCGTTCAGCCGGTCGACGTTTTTGGGCCCCGTTCAAAAAATGATTGACGGTCGCCCCTTGTAACGGTCGCCCCTTATAACCTGCCGCCCCCTATAACGGCCGCCCCTATGACCTCCGCCCCTATAACGACCGCCCCTATAACGGCCACCCCTGTAACATGTTGCTGCGGCCTCCCGAAGGTGGGAAACCCCCCTGTGCAAGCCACGCCCAGTGCGACGAGGCTGACGGTGCCGAGGGCGTCGCCAAGCACCTCCCCCCCCCACCTCCCGTCCAGCGGCACACGCTCGGACAAAAGCTTGCGACGCCATGGAACGTGTGAGCACAGCTTCCTGTTTTTTTAATTGTGCCGCGGTGGCTAGGAGATGTTAACTACCTTCGCCTGCTATGCAGGAGGTCGTTGGTTCGATCCAGACCCTGACGCCTGCTGCTGTATATATGGATTCATATGAAAGTTTTTTTTGGGTTAGTGCATGTAAATACATAAATGTGTCGTTAACCCACCACCACCCGATACAGCCAATTAATAAGGTTTGTCACGTAAACAAAACGTGCCAATTAGTGACTACTTCAGCCCACCGGTGTGTTGGAGAGTAATTCCACAACATTTCTAAATTGTATCATTTGAGTTTTCATGTGCTTCCTGTGGTTACGTGGAATTATTTCCAGATCCTCCAGTTTTTTCCCCACGCGTTTAGAGTATTTGTCTGCTATAAATGTCCACGTGATAAGCCACTTCGTTGAGCTATCATTTGTGGCCACGTCGCGTGTTAAAAAGAGCTACGTAGCTCGAGTGGACCTTACCTGTTAAAATGAAATAAAAGAGTAAGGAAAAAATGTAACCACCCGGCCACATCCTGGCTCATCACGGTGATCATCATCAGCCGTGATCTATCCACTGTCGGATGAAGGACGGCCTCGACCGATGCAACGGAACAAACTTATCTCGGCCGGGCGGACCTTGTACAGGATGGAGTCGCAGACGCAGACGACGTCCACCACAGCGGCCTCCTCCAGAAGGGGCAGCAGGTGGCTGGGCATGCCCTGCCAGAAGTGCAGCAAGAAGTTCTGGATCTGTGGACGAGGAGGCCAAACGATAGCGACGGCGGCGACCACGATGTGACCGTGGCGGTGACGATGGCGATGATGATGATGATGTTGGTGGTGGTGATGATGTCGGTCAGGGGTGGTGGTGATCGTGATGATATCAGCCGATGTGTTGAACGATCGGGTTTTGGAAAAGATGTTTTTAATTATGACGTTAATGACGACGTTCATGTATGTATGTGTAAGGGATATCGATGGGCTAGGACGCTAGGTATACTTACCTGCAGGGGCAGTCAGGGTCCAGCAGGGGCAGTCGTTATATCCCTAGCCCAAGGGCAGGTGGGGGGCTGCGGGGTGTCCTGGGAGCCCCCGGAGCCCCCTCTGGAACTCTCTAGAAGGTAGGCGGAGCCAGGGCTGACGCACGGGTGCTGGGTATAAAAGCCGGACCCCGAGAAGGGTCCGGGGCCAGTCCAAGACAGAAGCAAGAAGACGGAGATAGGACCCTGGGACCCCTAGCCCCGCTGCCCTTGTAAGGGCCGGGACTCTGTGTGGCTCAGTGGTGAGACCCTGGGAACGCCCCGGCCCGACGTCCTTGTGAGGGCCGTGTCCGAGTGGACCAGTGGTCGGAACCCGCACCCTGGCTGGGTCGGGTTAGATTAGCATCCCCTAGGCACCCGTAGCCGGAGGACCCAGAGTCGTGGTCCCGTGTTAGGGCACGCTAGCCCAGAGGCAGTACCTCCCCAGGCAGTGGTGATAGAAGGGCCAGTACGTTGAACTTCTTTTGCACCGTACGTAGCCAACCGCGCTAATCGAAGGTGCGGTTCATGATGATGATGAATGTGACAATGATGAATGACTATGGCGATCTGATGAATATGCTGCGAACGATGTTGATCCTGCTGCTGCAGCTGCTAACGATTCTGATGGTGCGGCTGCTGATGATGATGTTTTTAATTATGACGTTAATGATGATGAATGTGATGCGGATCGTGATGATGATGATGCTGATGCCAATGCTGATGAAGATGAATGTGCTGCTGCTGCTGATGATAATGTTTGACAACAATGCTGCTGCTCTTGCTGCTGATAATGATGTATGTTGAACTTCTTTCGCACCGTACGTAATCGGAGGTGCGGGAAATAATGGTAATAACGATGATGACGACGACGACTATGACGATGATGACGATGATGACGATGCACGCTCTAAGCTCACCTCCTCAAAGTTGCCGTTGATGGCATTGTCCAGGATGCACTGGCAGTGGGTTTTGTACATCGTGATCAGCGTGTCGGCCTGGCCCACGCACGCATGGACAGGAGGCGCGAGAGGTCACCGCGTGCGTCACAGCGCCGTGGACTCAACTGGGTAGGGGGGGCGAGTCCCCCGCTCAGCGCATTGTCGCTACGACGCCGTTCGTGTACTCGGGAACGATGTGCTCCCCCCCCTGTTGTCTCTGTCTGTCCCTGTGTGTCGCTGTCTCTCGCCTTGTCTCTGTCTGTCTCTGTGTGTCGCTGGCTCTCTGTGTCCCTATCTCTGTCTGTCTCTGTGTGTCCCTGTCTCTGTCTGTCTATGTCTGTCTCTGTGTGTCCCTGTGTGTCCCTGTTTCTCACCTTGTATCTGTCTCTGTGTGTGTCTCTCTCTGTCTGTCTTTGTGTGTCCCTGTCTCTCACCTTGTCTCTGTGTGTCTCTGTCTCTGTGTGTCTCTGTCTCTGTGTGTCCCTGTCTCTGTGTGTCTCTGTCTCTCACCTTGTCTCTGTCTGTCTCTGTGTGTCCCTGTCTCTGTGTGTCTCTTGTCTCTCACCTTATCTCTGTCTGTCTCTGTCTCTGTGTGGTCTCTTGTCTCTCACCTTATCTCTGTCTGTCTCTGTGTGTCTCTGTCTCTGTGTGTCTCTGTGTGTCTCTGTCTCTGTGTGTCTCTGTGTGTCCCTGTCTCTGTGTGTCCCTGTCTCTGTGTGTCTCTGTCTCTGTGTGTCTCTGTCTCTGTGTGTCTCTCTGTGTCCCTGTCTCTTTGTGTCTCTGTCTCTGTCTGTCTCTGTGTGTCCCTGTCTCTGTGTGTCTCTGTCTCTCACCTTATCTCTGTCTGTCTCAGTGTGTCTCTGTCTCTGTGTGTCCCTGTCTCTGTGTGTCCCTGTCTCTGTGTGTCTCTGTCTCTGTGTCTCTGTGTGTCCCTGTCTCAGTGTGTCCCTGTCTCTGTGTGTCTCTGTCTCTGTGTGTCTCTGTCTCTGTGTGTCTCTGTGTGTCCCTGTCTCTGTGTGTCCCTGTCTCTGTGTGTCTCTGTGTGTCTCTGTCTTAGTGTGTCTCTGTCTCTGTGTGTCTCTGTGTGTCCCTGTCTCTTTGTGTCCCTGTCTCTGTGTGTCTCTGTCTCTGTGTGTCTCTGTGTCCCTGTCTCTGTGTGTCTCTGTGTGTCCCTGTCTCTGTGTGTCTCTGTCTCTGTGTGTCTCTGTGTCCCTGTCTCTGTGTGTCTCTGTGTGTCCCTGTCTCTGTGTGTCTCTGTCTCTGTGTGTCTCTGTGTCCCTGTCTCTGTGTGTCTCTGTGTGTCCTTATCTCTTTGTGTCTCTGTCTCTGTCTGTCTCTGTGTGTCCCTGTCTCTGTGTGGCCCTGTCTCTCACCTTGTCTCTGGACACGGACGCAGGTAGGATGAGGTGGCGGGCGCTGGGGAACTCTGGAAGGAGAGTGCCGGTTTTGGAGCTCAGCGAGTATTTACGCGTGAAGCCTCCCTGTGCACACACAGACAAAGGTCCCCCGTGTAGCCTTCAGCGGACTGTTGGGGCAAGCGCTGTTAGCGAGTAGCACCCCGCAAAGGCCGGCACGGCACACAATTGGGGTGGGTGCCCAGAACCACACCCGGCCGCCTTTGTCTCCCCGGCCGCGATGTTTACTGCACACCGCACCAGGTACTCATTTGAGGCCGAGTCAACCTAGGGGAGGCCCAAGACTGGTTCATATAATCGTCACTGGTGTTGGCCGTGAGCGGGAATCGAACTCAGGTCGCCGGGTTTGTAGCGCAGCGCGCTGACCAAAACACCACCGCGCCCCATACACATAGACACACACAGACACGTAGCAACACCGGTGTGCTGGAGAGCCAAGCCACAACATTTACACTCTGAGCACGACGTTTCGCCAGTAATTACAACCAGCTGCATCAGGCGGACAGCCAGATTTGTGGAGAAATCCTCCTCCTGTTTCGCAAGGAGGGGTATATGTGAGGACGTCACTTGTGACCCCTTCACGTGCTAAGTTGTGGGGCGATTAATGAATGAAAATAAATTACAATGGGCATCCATCCCCGGTGTTGCTGTACTAGTAACGAATTGGCGTGTTCTGTTCACGTGACAAACCTTACTAATTGGCTGTGTCGGGTGACGGCGGGTCTAACGACACATTTATATATATACTTACGTGATCTAACCCAACAAACAAAAAATAACCGTATTTATGGCTGTTATTGGTCGCGTGGAGCCTCCTGCCACGTGCGAAACTCACCTCGCTCTTAATCTTGCTCCCAGAAAACCTGCCAACATAAAGGAGACAGAACAGCCAATATTGAGAAGTGCAGGGAGGCGGAGTGATGTTAAATTGCTCCGGACATGTCACATCGTAACAACGACTGGCGGAGACAGTGGGTGGGGTTGGCACGTGCCCCCCCCCCCCCCCAAATGATCCGATCGAAATCCCTAATTTCGATCGGATCATTGGGGTTTATTAGTAATAAATTGGCATTTTGCGACCCCCACTGCCACTGTGTAGCATATTATTACGTGCCGGGGACTCTATGAGATGATCGGACAATAGTCCATAATTGGCAATAAGTAACGGCAAAGCGGTTATAAGTGACTCACAGAATTGTGCGCAGTTGCGTAAACAGTACACGACTTCCCTGAAGGCAATCACCTTCATCACACCACGCGGTTCGAATTCGACCCTCGATCGATGGCTGTGCCATCGCCGCACATGCGGCGAATAACAAGCAAGGGACAAGTCCTTACTAACAACTCCTTACTTACTAACAACTCCTTACTTACTAACAACTCGTTACTTACTAACAACTCGTTACTTACTAACAACTCCTTACTAACAACTCCTTACTAACAACTCCTTACTTACTAACAACTCCTTACCAACAACTCCTTACTTACTAACAACTCCTTACTTACTAACAACTCCTTACTTACTAACAACTCCTTACTAACAACTCCTTGCTTACTAACAACTCATTACTTACTAACAACTTCTTACTTACTAACTCCTTACTTACTAACTCCTTACTTACTAACAACTCCTTACTTACTAACTCCCTACTTACTAACTCCTTACTTACTAACAACTCCTTACTTACTAACAACTCCTTACTAACAACTCCTTACTTACTAACAACTCCTTACTAACAAGTCCTTGCTTACTAACAACTCCTTACTTACTAACAACTCCTTACTAACAACTCCTTACTTACTAACAACTCCTTACTTAATAACAACTCCTTACTTACTAACAACAACTCCTTACTAACAACTCCTTACTTACTAACAACTCCTTACTAACAACTCCTTACTTGCTAACAACTTCTTACTTACTAACAACTCCTTACTTACTAACAACTCCTTACTAACAACTCCTTACTTGCTAACAACTCCTTGCTTACTAACAACTCCTTACTAACAACTCCTTACTAACAACTCCTTACTTACTAACAACTCCTTACCTAACAACTCCTTACTTACTAACAACTCCTTGCTTACTAACAACTCCTTACTAACAACTCCTTACTTACTAACAACTCCTTACTTACCAACAACGCCTCTATCATTTTTCATTGCTGGAGGGGTTACCCCCCCCCCACTTTACCTGAAAATCCTGGCTCCGCCATTGGTAACGACATCATATTCGAAACCGACACAGGCAAGACTTTCTTCACAATGCTCGATAATCGCCCCTACGAAGGCGGTTGCTGTAAATCACCGGCGAAACGTCGGACTCGGATTGTCAACGCTGTGGGTTTACTCTCCAGCACACCGGTGGTGCTGAAGTTAGTCAATAATTGGCACGTTTTGTTTGCGTGACAAGACCTCACTGATTGGCTGTGTCGGCTGGTGGCTGGTTGAACGACGCATTTATTTTTCCGCGAACTAATCCAAAAATGTTTTATATTATGTATATTTGTCTCGAAAGCCTCCTACTACTAGGTATTCAACATAACTCAACAAACAACTCGCCTCTCACCCATGTCTGTCCATACACATAATGAACAAAAAGTATGATTTACACATCCCATCAGCTACACTGCCCCCTTCCAGGTAAGAAACAGCACCAAAGACAAAGATCCCCCGTGTAGCCTTAACAGACTGGTCGGGAAAGTGCTGTTAGCGAGCACCTATGAAGGCCGGTTAAAGGCACACGAGGGGGTGGGTGGCCAGCACCACGCCCGGCCCGAGTGGCGATGTTTACACACCGTAACAGGTACTCATTTGAGGCCGAGTCGACCTAAACGAGGCCCAGGAGCGATTAAAATAATCACCACTGGTGTTGGCCTTGAGCGGGAATCGAACTCGGGTCACCGGGTTCGTAGCGCAGCGCGCTAACCGCGACACTACCGCTCCCCATGCAGATAAACTCTGCACAAACACACTGCTCACACACGTACACACTACAGACAGACACACACACACTGCAGCTACGCGAACTGCACACACACGCACAATTCACACACACGCGCAACACATTGCACCCAAAGTGCACACACACACCACACACACACTGCACACACACACTGCACACACACACTGCACACACACACACTACACACACGGAGGCCACACACACGCACGCGCGCACTGCACTGAGTGCCCCAAGCAATCAGCAACAGCCCTCGCCTGCCCCCCTCCGTTATCTTCACCATCTGGCCTGGCGCTCGGTCACCCCCCACCAGCCCCGATATCGGCCACCCCCCCACTAGCCCCGATATCGGCCACCCCCCACCAGCCCCGACATCGGCCACCGCTCGGCGCTTCTACAAACCACGAAGCCATTAGCAGGCTGCAGCTGTTTGCTTCGAGTGAGACCGCCCAGCTATTTACAACTCGATTAGCCTAACAGCTACCGCATCATTAACCCGCCGTGGCTCATTGAAGATGAATCAAGTCATGGCGACTCACAGCTCGTCAATCCACTACTGGATGGATGCCTCCTGCCTCCTACCCCCACAACAACACGCCCCACTGTGGGTCCTGGAGGCCTGTCCCGTAAGCCAGGCTTCACCACACTTCACCATACTTCACCACACTTCTTCGCCACACTTGACCACGCTTCATCACACTTCACCACGCTTCATCCCACTGAGCTATAACATCTTCTTTTCAGAAGCGACCTGGCCACAAATGATAGCGCAACGAAGTGGGCTCATCACGCGGACATTCTTTCGCAGCCAAATACTCTAAAACGCGTGACGCTGATTCGAAATGTGTAGGGGAAAAACCGGAGGACCCGGAGGAAAATCCACACGACCACGGGGAAAGAGAGACACGCAAACTCCAAATCTACATCAGGCGGCAGTGTCGCGATCGAACCCACGACCTCCTGTATAGCAGGCGAGCTAGTTAACGTCTCACCACCGTGGCACCCCTTATCTGACAGAGGGAGGGTCATTGTCAAGAAATATCCGGCAGTTCACCGGCTGATTGGACACTGAATGTCGAATCCGGTCCAGAGTTCCCTCGTATTGAATCAATGCTGCTTTAAATAATACATCAAGGAGACCGTGTGGCTGGTGGAATGTGTCAAAAATAGAGCTTCCATGTATGACGCGGAGAGATAAATATGCGAAAGGGGCGAATAATCTCCACCACGCTGAAGTGAGGGTGAGCACAGACGGGGAAGCATAGATGTGCAGGACAACATTGTATCAGCCTGCGTCACCCACACACGGTACAGTGATTGGCCGTCACCAGCGACAGTCCATTTTTATGGCATTGTCTTTCACCAGTGCGCTTTGGTTCTTTCGGTAAAGTCACGTAGGTAGAAAAACAAAATAACAAAAATTATATATGTTACGACGTTTCGATCGCAACACAAGCGGCCGTCCTCAGGCGGAGAAAAATAATCCAGCGGTGGAACATTACTTTACCGAAAGAACCAAAGAGTATGGATTCCTGCAGTCACTAAAGCTTCAAATCTAGACTCTCATCAGTGCTTGAGCAAAGGTCGCCAAAAAGCGAACAGTTCAAGAACAAAGCAAGCACCAACGCATTAACCGCTCCGGTAATGCGGCTACGTCTATGGGATACATTATAATCAAAGCATAATTTCTTTGCACGTTTTACCACAAGTATGCGTGGTTAACGAGGACGTTGATGACTTGTAATTGGTATCCATTTGGTGTTTAAAGATCTTAACGCCTCCTGTATTTATGCCAGCAAGGGTAAACCATATTTTTGATTCATCATTACAATGCCTTGGCACCGGGCTGAGTTATCGTTATAAGGAATGGTCACCAGCCAATCAGAGAACCGTCTATCGAGATATCTTGGATGGATGGATGAAGAAAGTCACAAAAACACCGAGCCACACTTTGACATACCAGATGCCGCAGTGGCGAGAAGTTAACTACATCGCCTGGTACGCAGGAGGTCGTGGGTGCAGTCCCGACCCTGACACCTGCTGTGTATTTGGAGTTTGCGTGTCTCTCTCCCCGTGGTCGCGTTGATTTTTCTATGGGTCCTCCGGTTTTTCCCCTCCACATTTAGAGTGTTTGGCTGCGTGAAAAATATCCACACGATGATGAGCCACTTCGTTGAGCTATCGTTTGTGATAGCCAGGTCGCTTCTGAAAAAAATAGCTACATAGCTCAGCGGGGCCTTACCTGGTCAAATAAAAATGATGTTTAGTTTAGTTTGGGTGCTGTGCAAGTGAAGGCCTTGGCACAGGCTGAGTTCTCGCTCTGAGGAATGGTCACCAGGCAATCAGAGATCCGTCGACCAAGTTATCGCGGCTGGATGGAGAAAGTCACTGAAACACTGAACCCACGCTGTGGATTCAAGATGCTCACCGGGTGAGGCCCTTCCCCGAGTAGACGGCATGGTAGTACTCGCTGCTCTCCTTGATACCGATCCCGTAGTAGTGGTACCTGTGGTGGTCGCGCAGACAGGTAACCGTGCGATCGGGGCGGGCACGCGACGCTTCAGAAATGTGCAGCCACAGGGCGCCTTGCTGGATAAATGCCTGCACCGACGTCAATGTGAACACATGGACCCTGCGGGTCAACTTACCCGACGTGTGTGAAATAAATGTGAGTCTATGGGTCTCTATGTGAGTCTATGGGTCTCTATGTGAGTCTATGGGTTTCTATGTGAGTCTATGGGCCCCTATGTGAGTCTATGGGTCTCTATGTGAGTCTATGGGTCTCTATGTGAGTATATGGGTCTCTATGTGAGTATATGGGCCCCTATGTGAGTCTATGGGTCTCTATGTGAGTCTATGGGCCCCTATGTGAGTCTATGGGTCTCTATGTGAGTCTATGGGCCCCAATGTGAGTCTATGGGTCTCTATGTGAGTCTATGGGTCTCTATGTGAGTCTATGGGCCCCTGTGTGAGTCTATGGGTCTCTATGTGAGTCTATGGGCCCCTATGTGAGTCTATGGGTCTCTATGTGAGTCTATGGGTCTCTATGTGAGTATATGGGCCTCTGTGTGAGTCTATGGGTCTCTATGTGAGTCTATGGGCCCCTATGTGAGTCTATGGGTCTCTAAATAATATATGTATCTCTGTGAGAGACTATGAATCTCCATGTGAGTCTACAGATCAAACTATGTCCCACATAGTAATACCATGGCCCACTTAAATAGTTTCACCTATGGGTCTCTATGTGAGTCTATGGGCCTCTGTGTGAGTCTTAAGGTCTCTATGTGAGTCTATGGGTCTCTATGTGAGTCTATGGGTCTCTATGTGAGTCTATGGGTCTCTATGTGAGTCTATGGGTCTCTATGTGTGTCTATGGGTGTTTATGTGAGTCTATGTGAGTCTATGTGAGTCTATGTGAGTCTATGTGAGTCTGTGGGTGTCTATGTGAGTCTATGGGTGTTTATGGGTGTCTATGTGAGTCTATATGTGTTTATGTGAGTCTGTAGGTGTCTATGTGAGTCTATGTGAGTCTATGGGTGTCTATGTGAGTCTGTGGGTGTCCATGTGAGTCCATGAGTCTCTAGGTGAGTCTATGGATCTCCTGCACGTGGGTCTATATCTCAGACGAAGAAGAAGAAGAAGAAGAAGAGGAAGAAGAAGAGGAAGAAGAAGAAGAAGAGGAAGAAGAAGAAGAAGAGGAAGAGGAGGAAGAAGAAGAAGATGATGATGATGACGATGTACACGTTTGAATGCACCGCAGGAGATCTTACTTGGAGTGACCGCGCGTGCCCAGACGCCGGGTCGTGAGGTGCGGGAACTTCTGCCGGATGGTCTGGGACAAAACAAATTCATCGTGGTCATCATCGTCATGATTGTCATCATCCTTCGTCCGCGTAATCAAAGGCACAGTGAAGGCGTTTCGCGCGTGAGTGTGTGTGGGGAGCGGTAGCGTAGCGGTTGGCCGCGCTGCGAACCTGGCGTCCCGAGTTCGACTCCCGCCACGGCCAACACCGCTGACGATTATCCGAACCGGTCCTGTGCCTCACCTAGGTCGACTCAGCCTCAACCGAGTACCTGGGTGCGGCGTGTAAAAACATCGCCACTGGGGAGACAAAGGCGGCCGGGCGTGGTGCTGGCCACCCACCCCCTCGTGCGCCGTGCCGGTAGCCTTCACAGGTGCAGGGGGTAAGGGGGGTAAGGGGGGTAAGGGGGGGGGGGGTCTCTCACCTTGCCAAAGGTGGCGGCACAGGCGGGCTCCAGGTGTTCCTTGCGGCAGAAGTCGAGGTAGTGAGTGTAGAGGATGCAGCGTGGCAGGCACACGCCCTCGCACACCATGTAGTTCTCATCCAGCCTGGTCACACACAAAGACAAAGATCCCCCGTACAGCCTTAACGGACTGGCGGGGCAAGTGCCGTCAGCGAGCAGCACCCACGAAGGCCGGCAGCGGCGCGCGAGGGCAGTGGGCGGACCAGCACCACGCCCGGCCGCCTTTGTCTCCCTTCGTGGCGATGTTTACACGCTGCACGCAGGTACTCATTTTTAGGCTGAGTAGACCTAGGGGAGGCTCAGGACCGGTTCAGATGATCGTCACCGGCGTTGGCCGTGAGCGGGAATCGAACTGGGGCCTCCGGGTTCACAGCGCACACAACCCTGCTCGATGGCTAGAGGTGTGGTGGTCGGTACTTCGGGGGGTGGAGGGGGTGTCGAGAGGGGGGTTTAAGAACCTTGCCCCCATTGTTTCAACTGCAGGGAGATGGAATCTCAACCCCCCCCCTCCCTGCGTGGCAAGTCCAGCACGCTTGGCACGCAGCCTCCCCTTGACTTTGTTTGGGGCTCTCACTGCAGGTTGACTTCCCCCTCTAGAAACAGTCGCTGGGGCCGCGCTTGCTCCCGCCCCCCCCCCCCCCGCCCCCCCCGCGGCATGCGGAGGCTACGCGGGCGACCTTTGCCTTTGTGCGTCAGGCACCAGTGCAGCGTGAGGAGGCTCTGCCTCTTCTTGTCCCGTCCCGCTTGTGTCAGAGAGGTCCTGGGGTCCGGGCCGCCGCCTCCCGTGGACTGCTCCATCTCCCCGTCCGTCTTTGTCTCCCCGGCGCTGTCCCTGCCCGCGTCCCAGCGCGCGTGGGCCGCTGACCGTATCGGGTGTGCTTCTGCGCGCCAGGGAAGGGGCAGAAAGGGCTCGGTGAGGAGGAGGAGGCGGAGGAGGAGAAGGAGGAGGAGGGAGAGGAGGAGGAAGAGGAGGAGGGAGAGGAGGAGGAAGAGGAGGAGGAGGGCGTGTGGGGAGAGAGACGGTGGAGATACGAAGGGAGACACGCGGAGATGAATACGGAGACGCGATGACGCATGAGGAGAGGTGCTCGCTCGGACAAGGAGAGACGCGGAGAGAGCCGTGGAGACACGCACACGTGGACCCGTGCAGCGAGACACTCGTTGAGATGCACGGAGACACAATGGCACACGAGGGAAGACGCGGAGAGACACGGACACACGTGCAGAGACACATAGCACGTGCGGAAAAATACACGGGGAGAGATACAGAGGGAAACATGAGGCGAGACAAAGAGAGACGCCCGGACACTCGGAAAGACACAATGAGATGTTCTATTAAAAAATCCCTAGAAAAAATGTTTCACCAGGCAAAGCCCACTGAGCTACGCAGCTTTTTTTCAGAAGTGACCTGGCCACAAATGATAGCTCAAAGAAGTGGCTTATCACGTGCAAATGTATAGCAGCCAAATACACGAAACGCGTGATGTTGATTACAAATGTGGAGGGGAAAACCGGAGGACCCGGAGATAAATTCACGCCACCGCGTGGGGAGAGAGAGACACGCAAACTCCAAATATACAGCAGGCGTCAGGGTCGGGAACGAACCCACGACCTCCTGCATGCCAGGCGAGGTAGTTAACATCTCCTAGCCACCGTGATGATGATGAGAGAGAGACACGCAAACTCCAAATATACAGCAGGCGTCAGGGTCGGGATCGAACTCACGACCCTCCTGTATAGCATCTCACCACTGCAACGAGGCACACACACACTCGGTGGGTAGACTAATCGGTGCTTGATGGACAATGTGGCAATACCAAACGGCAGGTGATCAACCATCCACATCGACCCTCTCCAGTAATCTGGAGAGTTTTCTCTATACACGCCTGAGTCTATGACATCCATCCCCATGCCCATTCTATTCACAATGCGAATCGGGTATTTGTTTCTCTCAATTTAAGTCTCCCTGCATCTGTTGCTTAAGCGATATTCACTTACAGAGGGCACTGCACACCAATAAAGGAGTGTCAGAGTGCTTCGTATAAACCGCGATTTACATCAATGCCCAACACTCAGAAAATATCAAACACGAGACATTTCGTTTGATTTCATATACAGTGAGGGAAAAAAGTAGTTGATCTCCTGCTGATTTTGTACGTTTGCCCACTGAAAAAGAAATGATCAGTCTATAATTTTAATGGTAGGTTTATTTGAACAGTGAGAGACAGAATAACAACAAAAATCCAGAAAAACGCATGTCAAAAATGTTATAAATTGATTTACATTTTAATGAGGGAAATAAGTATTTGACCCCCTCTAATCAGAAAGATTTCTGGCTCCCAGGTGTCTTTTATACAGTTAACGAGCTGAGATTAAGAGCACACTCTTAAAGGGAGTGCTCCTAATCTTAGCTTGTTACCTGTATAAAATACACCTGTCCACAGAAGCAATCAATCAATCAGATTCCAAACTCTCCACCATGGCCAAGACCAAAGAGCTCTCCAAGGATGTCAGGGACAAGATTGTAGACCTACACAAGGCTGGAATGGACTACAAGACCATTGCAAGTAGCTTGGTGAGAAGGTGAAAACAGTTGGTGCGATTATTTGCAAATGGAAGAAACACAAAAGAACTATCAATCTCCCTCGGCCTGGGGCTCCATGCAAGATCTCACCTCGTGGAGTTGCAATGATCATGAGAACGGTGAGGAATCAGCCCAGAACTACACGGGAGGATCTTGTCAATGATCTCAAGGCAGCTGGGACCATAGTCACCAAGAAAACAACTGGTAACACACTACGCCGTGAAGGACTGAAATCCTGCAGCGCCCGCAAGGTCCCCCTGCTCAAGAAAGCTCATATACATGCCCGTCTGAAGTTTGCCAATTAACATCTGAATGATTCGGAGGACAACTGGGTGAAAGTGTTGTGGTCAGATGAGACCAAAATGGAGCTCTTTGGCATCAACTCAACGCGCCGTGTTTGGAGGAGGAGGAATGCTGCCTATGACCCCAAGAACACCATCCCCACCGTCAAACATGGAGGTGGAAACATTATGCTTTGGGGGTGTTTTTCTGCTAAGGGGACAGGACAACTTCACCGCATCAAATGGATGATGGACGGGGCCATGTACCGTCAAATCTTGGGTGAGAACCTCCTTCCCTCAGCCAGGGCATTGAAAATGGGTAGTGGATGGGTATTCCAGCATGACAATGACCCAAAACACACGGCCAAGGCAACAAAGGAGTGGCTCAAGAAGAAGCACATTAAGGTCCTGGAGTGGCCTAGCCAGTCTCCAGACCTTAATCCCATAGAAAAGCTGTGGAGGGAGCTGAAGGTTCGAGTTGCCAAACGTCAGCCTCGAAACCTTAATGACTTGGAGAAGATCTGCAAAGAGGAGTGGGACAAAATCCCTCCTGAGATGTGTGCAAACCTGGTGGCCAACTACAAGAAACGTCTGACCTCTGTGATTGCCAACAAGGGTTTTGCCACCAAGTACTAAGTCATGTTTTGCAGAGGGGTCAAATACTCATTTCCCTCATTAAAATGCAAATCAATTTATTACATTTTTGACATGCGTTTTTATGGATTTTGTTGTTATTCTGTCTCTCACTGTTCAAATAAACCTACCATTAAAATTATAGAATGATAATTTATTTGTTAGTGGGCAAACGTACAAAATCAGCAGGGGATCAAATACTTTTTTCCCTCACTGCATCTCAACAAAGCAATGCAACCCCTATCCAATATAATGTAATGCCAATAATGAATTACGGTGAGTGTCTGATAGAGTGCCGTCCTAGTCACATCAACACCTCGTCTCAACACATTTAAAAGGGCAACCCCAGTGGCAACTGTCCCTGTGTGTTGCGCAATGTGCAGCTGTTTAATACTCCCAATTGAGTGTTACTAATAGAAGTTTATTTTACCATAAAGACCGGCTACAAATTTCCAAGAATAATAACAACAACAACAGCCGCCATTCGCCACTTAAGTGGCGGTGGCAACACCACGGCGCTTGTGCCAGGCTAGGTGCACTTAGAGGACACGTAATGTATCGACAATAATAGGAGGTCACGGGACAGACCCACGTGCCATGGACACCCAGCACGGTTGGCTACGTATGGTGCGAAAGCAGTTCAACACACATAATCTGTGACAAAGAGCTTCATAGCTCATCGGATTCCCCCAGTCTACATAAAGATTCTGATTCTGGTTGACTGACTGAGATGACTGACAGGGAGGGGCGGAGAAGGGCAGGAATTTTATTTTTTCCAGAGTTCAGCCCTGGACAGCTCCGGCTGCAATTAAGCCATGCCCTGAGTCACCCTGCCACCTCCCCTGGGTTAGGGAGGTTGAAGTGTTTGTGTCGCCTCGGTGGGTGCGGTGCTGTGATTAATCGCTATGCAATGCGAGCCACACTGCGATAGCGACCAAAACAACCATAGGCGCCCTCTGTAGAAGAACGCGTGAGAGTTGCGTTCAGGAACGGGTTGCCCTGTGACAGCGCTTTGTGGGAAATTCAGAATGTGAGCAGTATCACGGCCATTGTGAAATCACCGAGAAAGAGACACCCAGACACAGGGTTCAAACCCAGGTTCTTAGCAGTGCTGGCTCAGTAACCCTGACATTACGCCAGGATCCTGTTTGTGGACTTCAGCTCTGCCTTCAACACCATCATCCCTGCCCTGCTTCAGGACAAGCTCTTCCAGCTGAACGTGCCCGACTCCACCTGCAGGTGGATCACAGACTTCCTGTCTGACAGGAAGCAGTGGGTTAAGCTGGGAACACAAGTCTCTGACTCCAGGTCCATCAGCACCGGAACTCCTCAGGGCTGCGTCCTTTCCCCACTGCCCTACTCCCTGTGCACCAACAGCTGCACCTCCAATCATCTGTCCGTCAAACTCTTGACGTTTGCGGACGACACCACCCTCATTGGGCTGATCTCTGGTAGGGATGAGTCTGACTATAGGTGGGAAGCTGACAACCTGGTGACCTGGTGTAGCCAGAACAATTTAGAGCTAAATGCTCTAAAGACAGTTGAGATGGTTGTGGATTTCAGAAGAATACAGCCCCACTCACCCCCATCACCCTGTGCGACTCCCCAGTCAAAACTGTGGAGTCCTCCCGCTTCCTGGGCACTATTCTCTCTCGGGACCTCAAGTGGGAACTGAACATCAGCTCCCTCACCAAGAGAGCTCAACAGAGGATGTACTTCCTACGGCAGCTGAAGAAATTCAATCTGCCAAAGACAATGATGGTGCACTTCTATACAGCAATCATTGAATCCATCCTCACCTCCTCCATAACCGTCTGGTACGCTGCTGCCACTGCCAAGGACAAGAGCAGACTGCAGCGTATCATCCACACTGCTGAGAAGGTGATTGCCTGCAATCTACCAACCCTCGAGGACCTGCACACCTCGAGGACCATGAAGCGAGCGAGGAAGATTGTGGCAGATTTCTCCCACCCTGGACACTCTCTGTTCCAGCTACTCTCCTCCGGCAGAAGGCTGCAGTCCATCAGGACCAAAACCTCACGCCACAAAAACAGTTTCTTCCCACCGCTGCTGGCCTATTCAACAAGGCCAAGGGCTTACACTGACTTTAATATTTTATCTACAAAATGACACCTTGCCATATTTACACTATGTTACCCCATTTGTATTTTTTGTATTTTTTTATTGTATCTTATAGCTACTTTATATTCAATATTTATTCAAAAATTTACATACTTTAGCCCCTTAGTGTTAGTTAGACTTTGTACCTTTAGTATAGTTAAACTTGTATACCACTTAAATTTCGATTTAATGCTTTCGTGACTGCAATGATTCATCTTCTTTGGTTCTTTCGGTAAAGTCACGTAGAATGAGAATAAAATAATAAATTGATAAAATAAAATAACACAATAATATTCTCACGACGTTTCGGCCACAACACAAGCGGCCTTCATCAGGTGGAGGGAGCGAGACTGTCTGGTAGGACAGCGCTGGAGTGAGAGAGCCACGTTCAGATCACGGCTTTTAAGCTGTGTGAGAGGAACAAAGAGCCTTGACGAAGGAATTAGCATAAAATTTAGCATTGAAAAGGCTGAATGATTAGCTTGTGACTGGTCACAGAAATAGCTATGTTAAAAGTTAAAGCATACACATCCGCAGAGGCACCCATTGTTAAAAGGAATTAGCATAGAATTTAGCATTGAAATAGCTAAATTAAGGCATTCGCTTGTAACTGCTACAGAAATAGTTACGTTGAAGTCAGAGCATACACATTCACCGAGGCACTTAGTACAAATCAAAACAGGAGAATTTAGCATTGAAATAACTAGGCGAATTTAGCATTGAAATAACTGGGTGATTTGCTAGTGACTGGTCACAGAAATGCCTACACATCTGAGCTATTCACAGTACTATATAGTGAACCAATAAAAACTAAAATATAAATTACCTTCATGTTATCAATAAACTCTATATTCTCCAATCAGCTAAGCTACCAACCATAAGTCGTTATATATCACAATGCTATATGGCGAAAAAATGGGTGGATTCTTACCCTCAAATTTCCGTACCACGGATAGCTACGGGCCCCGTTCAGACGGACGAGTTCGTCCATGGTCGGAACAGAGGAGGGGGAGAGAGACAGCTGCGAAGCCCTAGTATACTCCATGTTGTAAACCATACCATTAACCGTGGTTTGAGAGGTATTAAGAGGCAATGCTGGCGAAAGAGCTGCGGTCTGAAGGTCATCGTAAAATTACAATTAATTAAGAACAGAAATGATTTAACACATCTTTCCAGTGGTTACTAAGCCTGAATCCATCTTCTCGGTTGAAATTGTCTCTGTGCTTGTATATGTGAATGGCCTCATGAACGAATCTCTCATGGTAGCCAGTTGGTTTGCAAAGAACCTCCGTCTTGGAGAAGTCAATGTCATGTGAGCCCACTGAATTGTAACAGTGATCTGCCACGGCAGAGGAGTTCGTCTTACCGTGTTTCAAGTCTGCTTTATGTTCGCGGATGCGGTCCGAGATATGTCTTTTGGTTTCTCCAATGTAGCTACTACCACAGAGGCACTTTAGTTTGTAAACGCCCGGGTACTGTATGTCTGGAAGAGCATCTTTTACAGATGGAACTAAATCACGGATTTTGTGTACTGTGTTGAATCGGACCTGGATCTTGTGTTTATTCAGGATTTTGGAGATCTTTTTAGTGACCCCTGCAATGTAGGGTAAGGTGATGGTTTTGAGTGGCTCCACAAGAGGATCCTTCTTCATGACTGGAGTGATGGCTTTGCGGATTGTGTAGTCGGAGTAGCCATTAGCCCTGAGAGCCTGGTGTACGTGCTTGAGTTCACTGGTAATGTGTTCCTGGTCGGAAATGCATTGGGCTCTATGGTATAGAGTCTTGATGAGGCAGTTCTTCTGGGATGGATGGTGGTGGGAATCCGGTTTCAAGTAAGCATCTGTATGGGTAGCTTTCCTGTAGACAGAGTGGCTCATTGAACCATCATGTCTCCTTTTAATTAAGACATCCAGAAAGGGTAGTTTGCCATCTTTTTCGACCTCCATGGTAAATCTGATGGCTGGGTGTATGGAATTGATGTGGTCGCGGAATTGGTCTAGAGCATCCAGACTGCCACTCTACGCCCGACCTTATGGAAGAGGTACGTTGATGACACCTTTGTCATCTGGCCACATGGCCAGCCTGCTCGTAATTGTTAATGGTGTGGGTTCAAACTTGATTTGAAGCTTTCGTGACTGCAGGAATTAACCTTTGGTTCTTTCGGTAAAGTCGCGAGGAAAGAAAATAAATTAAATAGAATTAAATACTAGAATACGACGCTTCGATTGGAACACAAACAGTCGTCGCCAGGTAGAACTACATTTCTTTCGACGTGACTTTACCGATAGAACCAACGAGTTGTGGTGGGTTTAACTCTCCAACACACCGGTGTGCTGTGCACGAGCACACTAATTGGCGAGCTTTGTTTACGCGAGAAACCTTAATAATTGTCTGTGTTGGATGGTGGCGGGTTTAACGACACATTAATATATTTCCGCGATCTAACCCCACCACCCCCCCCCCAAAAAAAAAAACCAACAACTTTATTATGGATATAATATTGGTCGCGAAAGACTGCCACTACTACCACTGCGTGTTGAACAGTGTGAAGGGTCTCGATGTGGCAGCGCTTAAAGCGCGACCCACGATTCGCATCGCTCGCCCACCACAACCGTCGCCCTCAACGCCACGACAATGCCAACGGGAGGAGCGGTGGCGCAGTGGTTAGCACGCTGCCGCTATCAATGCGCCTCCAGCGATGCGACCATTGACCCTCGGTAACGGCAAACGTCGGCGGTGAGCCATCGTCACCAAAACCCGCACTGACCAGCGCGGTGAAGTATGGTCAAACAACCCCCATGTCCGAACCGACACGGCAGTGGGTTGACAGAACGGCTATACATGTCCACTCCCTGCATTTTTTGTGAATGTTTCTACATTGTGTACATTGCTTAATGTGATGAATTCGTCAATAAATTACACCGCGCACGGATGTAAATATTCTCCTTAAAGTATTAAAAGTTGCACGACGCATCGGTGTGGTGTGCAGCATTCACTGAGTGAATGAGTGTGCGTGAGTTCGATTCCTTCTGACGGCCAACACCAAGTGACGATTATCAGAACCGGTCCTGGGCCTCCCCTAGGTCGACTCGGCCTTAAACGAGTAGCTTGCGCGGTGCGTAAACATCGCCACTAGGGAGACAAAGGCGGCCGAGCGTGGTGTTCGCCACCCACCCCCTCTTGTGCCGTGCCGGCCTTCATAGGTGCTACTCGCTAACAGCACTTGCCCCAACAGTCTGTTAAGGCTACACGGGGTAGCTTTTGTCTGTCGGTGAGTGCGTGAGTGTGTTTTTTTCGTGATAGTGTGTGCGTGTGTGCTCGAGTTAATGAGTGAACGTGCATGCGTGTGTGTGCATGAGTTGAGTGAATGTGGTTTGTGTGTGTGTGTGTGTGAGATAGTTAATGAGTATATACGCGTGTGTGGGGAGCGGTGGCGCAGTGGTCAGCGCGCTGCAATACGAACCCGGCGGCTTGAGTTTGAGTCCCGACAAAGGCTCTCATCAGTGGCGCGTGATATCAAGATCGGTTTTTGGCCTCCTCTAGGTCGACGTAGCCAGAAAATAGCACGTGGGTGGTTTAACAATTCAAGGATCCACTGCCATCCTGCCATCTGGTGAGCTCGCAACCCAAGTCTGCACCACCAGCGACTGACAGTCTCCAATATAACTACTGATCAAGATCAAAACCCCGCTCATCGTATGCGTCACGATGAGTCGATGGTCGTTTTGGGTTAAAGATCCTCGCTCCCTGTTGCCTCCCGCACATCCGACTAGCGCGGCTGGCTACGTACGGTGCGAAAGAAGTTCAACAGACAGCGCAGACGCGAAGATAAACCTACCGGACTTAATGCAATTCTGGTAGCCGGGTGCTTTTCCAGAAGCCAGGCGCGATACCTCCTCGTCATCCTCCTCCTCTTCATCGTCATCGTCGTCGTCTTCAATCGCCGCCTCATCCTCGTCATCATCTTGACGGGTCACCAGGTCCTCACCTCGTCGCCTCTTCGAAGGCATCTTCATGTCGCCCGATCTTGGGCACGGTTCGGGGAGTCGGTTGGGAGGATGAGGGGGTGAGTGAGTGAGTGAACGAACGAGTGAGCGAACGAGTGAGTGAACGAGTGAATGAACGAGTGAGTGAACGTCGTTGGATGCGCACCCACGTGGCGTACGGATGAGAGTGAGCGAGCTTTCGAGCACTCCGCGAAGCTCAGGAAAATTCGCCGTCGATGCTGGCGGTGGTGATGGTGGTGGTGCTGAGTTGGCAGTGGTGCAACAGCAGAGGCACAAACGAAGTGATGATTGAACGCATTCGTCAATAGCACTGCCCTGCGAGGAAAGGGATCCTATACAAGACTACTTTTGCGGACAGTGGGTTCTACTTCATGGGAGATAGATGATGCTACAGGTGGTTCATGATGTGCCTCCTGATGGTGTTCACGAATTCGCCCTGACGTCGCTATCGCGAGTGGTGTCTCGACTCAAGAGAGGTGGATTGTGGTTGACGCACAAGCGGCGGTAGTGATGATGATGGTGTTGTTGTAGAATTTAACTCAATTGTCAACAAGATTTGTTGTTGAAGACGTGGACACGAAACGGAAACCGCTGACGAGCTCGCTGTGCGCCGCATGAGATGCACGCGGCGCGATGCCTGGCAAAGTGATTCTGAAGCTCCCATCGCATCCCTCCATCCTCCTCTCCATCACTCCTCCCTCCCTTCCCTCCTCCCCGTTCCCCACCTTCTCTCTCCATCCTCACCTTCCTCCCCCACACTGCCCTTTGTTCTACCACACTCCCTCACTCCACCCTATCTCACTCCTCCCCTCCCTCCATCCTCCTCTCCATCACTCCTCCCTCCATCCCCCCTAGAACCCCCCGACGACCTCCCTCCTACCACCTCCATCTCTCACATCTCTCTCTATTCCATCCTGATCGTATACGCCTGCCTTCCTCCTACCATCTTAATGACAATCATATTCACGATAATAAACAGTCATAACATTGACTGTACACAGTTGCGCCATTCGTGCAAACCGCATCACGCAACGTCGCTCGATCCACGACGCGCATGGACGGGCTTAACAGGTGAAGATGTTTTTGGCCAATTCACGAGCGCAGTTTTGCACTTGCGCGCGCTGCGGCGAGGCGACCGGAGGCACACCCGGAGCAAAGCCCACGCGTGCGAGGGGGCAACGCTCGATCCCACACCGGAAGGGACGGATGACATTCGCCCGCACTTTACTGTACCGCCGTCTCCCAGCAGAGCCCGGGGTACGGCTCCTTCTTCCCCCACGCCCGAGGCGGCCCCCCAGCCCAGACAGCTGTAGCCCCCGCCCCTCCTCCCCCCCCCACCTTATCATTGACGTCACGACGCTCGCATGCTGTTTGTCTGTAAAGAGGTTCGCTCCACGTACAACCCCTCGTCTCGGTGTCCTCGTCAATGATTAACGAGCGGCCAGGCGGCTCCTCCTGGGCCCATAAATCAGACGAATGTGGAAAAAATAAACCCCCACACACGTGACGCTCCGAAGCTGATGCCACCCTGAATGAGTGAACGAGCGAGTGGGTGCGGGTGAGAGAGCGGGTGGGTGATTGGTCGAGCCGGTGGGTGAGTGAGTGGGTGAGCGACTGAGTGGGTGAGTGGCTGGGTGAGCGAATTAGTGGGCGAGTGGACGAGTGGGTGACCGATTGGGTGAGCGAATGAGTGTGCGAGCGGGTGGACGAGCGAATAAGTGGGCGAGCAGGTGGACGAGCGAATGAGTGGGTGACCGATTGGGTGAGCGAATGAGTGGGCGAGCGGGTGGGTGAGCGAATGAGTGGGTGGGTGAGCTTGTTATTGTGAGCTGTAGCGTGGTGAGTGCGTGGTCTCGGTGTGGACGGCTTCGCAAGCGCCTGCAACTGCTGTGTTTGCTCATCCCTCCAATAGACGAAACGTCGCGGGGTGGGGCGGGGGGGACTTTGAGCTCCGCGTGATGACAGCGAACGCACGAGAACCGCGCACGTGTGTGATTGGGAGAATTTAGAGTGCTCCTGTGTGTTTTGGGGGTTACGGCCTTAACAGCACTTGCCCCATGAGTGCACGTGGGCTATGTGGCGCAGCTTTGTCTTTGTGCATTAGGAGGTATGACTTTAATAGTACTTACCCCAGCACTCCATGCAGGCTATATGGCTGCACCTTTGGCTTTGTGGATTCAAGGATATGGTCGTAATCATCCGCAGCCATGATCGATCCACTGCTGGATCAACGTCCTTCCCAATCTCGTCGCCACACATCCTGTGATGCAACAATTCGCCTGATAAATGACCTTAATAGGTGGTTGCTTACAGCACCTTCATCGAGCGGTGGATAATGATGATGTCGGTTAGGGCTACAGATGGGTTGGCTAGTGTGGGTGGGGTTAGAGGTAGGGCTATAGATGGGTTGGCTAGTGTGGGTGGGGTTAGAGGTAGGGCTATAGATGGGTTGGCTAGTGTGGGTGGGGTTAGAGGTAGGGCTATAGATGGGTTGGCTAGTGTGGGTGGGGTTAGAGGTAGGGCTATAGATGGGTGGGCTAGTGAGGTGGGGTTAGAGGGATGGCTATAGATGGGTGGGCTCGTGTGGTGGGGTTAGAGGGAGGGCTATAGATGGGTGGGCTAGTGAAGTGGGGTTAGAGGGAGGGCTATAGATGGGTTGGCTACTGTGGTGGGGTTAGAGGTAGGGCTATAGATGGGTTGGCTACTGTGGTGGGGTTAGAGGGAGGGCTACAGATGGGTGGGCTAGTGTGGTGGGGTTACAGGGAGGGCTACAGATGGGTGGGCTAGTGTGGGTGGGGTTAGAGGGAGGGCTATAGACGGGTTGTCTAGTGTGGTGGGGTTAGAGGGAGGGCTACAGATCGGTTGTCTAGTGTGGTGGGGTTATAGGGAGGGCTATAGATGGGTTGTCTAGTGAGGTGGGGTTAGAGGTAGGGCTATAGATGGGTTGTCTAGTGTGGGTGGGGTTAGAGGTAGGGCTATGGATGGGTGGGCTAGTGTGGTGGGGTTAGAGGGAGGGCTATAGATGGGTTGGCTAGTGTGGGTGGGGTTAGAGGGAGGGCTGTAGATGGGTGGGCTCGTGTGGGTGGGGTTAGAGGGAGGGCTATAGACGGGTGGGCTCGTGTGGGTGGGGTTAGAGGGAGGGCTGTGTTCGCTCTCCGTTCTGTTTAACCACAGCGCCCTCTGCAGCGGCGAGGCATCGGCAAACCGCGCGTGGTGGAGCGAACGATTTACGTGTTGCCTCTGTGAGTGCCGACAAAACGAAATCTCGACAAATCCGTCAACACCACTGTGTGCCCTTAACACGAGGCGGTGAGACGTGCAAAAGATAAGTGGTACCCAATTTTATTTGCACGTGGAGACCACAGATGTGGGAAGAGAGCGATTTACGTTGAGCTTTGTTAATTACAGCAGAGGGCAGTAGAGCATCACTCACCAGTCAACTTACGTAACATGTATCCACTCCTGGATGAAGGCCTCCCCCCATGACGTATCCGTAAAGGGGGGGGGGGGGGGTTGACCATACTTCACCACGCTAGTTAGTGCAAGTTAGTGATAATCACTCACCACCCACGCTTAGCCGTGACCTGGGAGCAAACCCCGGATGGCTGGAGTCGCATTGATAGCGTAGCGTGCTAATCGCTGCGCCGCGGCTCCTCCCGTTTGCATTTTTCAATTGCAGTGGTGGTGCCGGGATCGCATTGGGCCGGTGAGTCAGGAGCGGTTCGGATATCACTCGCCACCGCTGCTAGCCGTGTCTGGTAATGATCGAGTTCGGCTTGGCCGGGTGAATTTCTCACGCGTTAATTCATGACACTGTCGCGTTCATTACCGACCCCCCACCTTTTCGTGTGGAACTTCTGGTGATGCAATAATTTCCGAGCCACGCCGCATGTCGAGTCGTTGGTTAGTAGTGGCGGTAGCCTGGATATATTCTCTAGCCGAGGGGTCAGAGGTTTATTTGTCGAGGACAACTCGCTCATTGAGCCGGGGCGCTCCTATTCAAGCGAGTCTCGGAAAACAGACAGCAGCGAGGCGTATTCGCATTGTATTATTATTCCGTGACTGCACCGACCTTCCAGCGTTCAAATCATTGACTAACACTCACTTTTTTTTTAAATTGCTTTTAATGTTTAGCTAAGTTTTACGTGTTTTTCGTGTTTTTACCATTTGATGTTGTTTTTTGCTGCTTTTATGATTTTATGTAAAGTGTCTTTGAGTATTCAGAAAAGCGCTCACAAATAAAATGCATTATTATTATAAGTTATGCTTTTTTATACATATATATACAGGGTGCTGAGAAACATGTTTTCACACCTCTGAGAATGTGCTACAATATAACGATGAATGCGCTGCCTCCGATCTCTGTAGACCACCTGGAGAAGCTATAAACATGACATTTGGTATCGCGTTACAGTGCATTTTGCGGTTTTTCCTCCTCCCCACCCCTCCCCCTCCATTAAAAACGATCGTCCCGTATAAGTGTCTAAAACATGTATCTAAGCACCCTAAATATCCTATTTAAACATCATCGCGGTGAAACATTTCCACAACGATCCACGTTCACGCGCCGTTGCCTGGCGATCTCCGCAGGCGGCTCGCCGTCAAGTTTGCGCAGCGGAGTTCAGCACAGAGCTGGCGCGCGCGTGCGATCACCGCACCGATGGGGCGAGGCTCCCCACCTCGTTCCCCGCTGCGGCGTCGAGGAGGAGCCGTGGGGCCTGGCTCGCCACTAGGAGGCCAACAAACAGCGGGGATTCCACCTGTCCGGGCTATGTGGGGATAGAGCGGTGGTTCTCAATTGGGGAGGGGCGGGGGAGGGGCGGGGGAGGGGGGTTGCGAGGCGGACCCTCTTCTGTGGGTGCGTGGCGATGTCCCAGGGGGACACGTGAGGTCATTTATAAATGTGTGAAAGTATATCGTGCATGGGTCATTACGTACATACTACACTACACAGTACACTTTTTAACGCACTATGATACACCCACCCCCCCTCTCTCCGAGTCGTCCCCTCCCATCCCCCCCTCTCTCTCTAAGTCGTCCCCTCCCACCCCCCCCCTCTCTCTCTCTTTTTTTACGATCAGGGGAAACAAGAAGATGCTCGGTGTAGTCGGCACTTTGCTTCGTTCATCATTTCGTTTTTTTTGTTTTTTTATGCTTTGCTTTATGTAAACCCCCCCCCCCCCCCACCTTTTTAAATGAAAGATTTAACAAAATATTTCTCGCACTGCTCTCCTTACCCCTTCCCTCTCTCTCTACCCCCCCTCTCTGCCCCCACCTCTCTCTCTCTACCCCCTCTCTTCCTACTCGATGTCGCTCTCGCTTTTTTTTAACTACGACAAGTGCTGCATCTGCACGCAGCCCTCCTCACAGTCAAACGGCCTCCGACGGGTAGCTCACAATCTGCATGCACAGAGCTCTCTACCGTCATCTGCCACCGAGCACACGGCCTCCTCCAGCGCCCACTGCTCCTTGAAGGCCGGCACGGCGTGGGTCAGCCGCGCACGGCGGAACTCCGGCCCACACTCCCTGGCTCCGACCAGAGCGCGGAAGATGCCCAGGCTGTTGGCCGGACGTTGCCCCTCCAGGGCCACCTTCCTCGCCCTGTATATGGCGAGCTTGGCGTAGCCGACGAGCACGTTGACCCGCCCCTGAAGATGTTGGGGTCCGTCGCCCTTCGGGTATCCAGGACCTT